TATACCTATTATTCTTAGGTTTGGTCTTTTCATGGTGTCCCATAATTCCTGGATGTTTTGTGTTAAGGATTTGTTGGATTTAAGGTTTTCTTTGGTTGATAAATCCATTTCTCCTAGTGTATCTTCAACACTTGAGATTCTGTCTTCCATCTCTTCTATTCTGTTGGTAATGCTTGTCTTGGTAGTGCCTGACTGTTTGTCCAGCTTTTCTATTTTCTGCCTTTCTTCAGATTGTGTTTTTTTTAGTGACTCTATTTCAGTTTTCAACCCTTGCAGCGTTTGCATTGCTTCTTGCAATTTTCTGTTTATCTGTTCGTCCATTTGTTGCCTTTTATGAATTTTTTGGTTTGTTCTTTCTTCCATTTCTTGCATTTTTTGGTTTGCTTTTTGTTCCATTTCTTGGATTTTGTGCTTTGTTTCTTCTTCCATTTCCTGCCTTTTTTGGTTTGTTTCTTCCTCCATTTTTTTCATTTTTTGCTTTGTTTTTTCTACCATTTCTTGCATTTTTTGCTTTGTTTCTTCTTCCATTTCCTGCCTTATTTGGTATGTTTCTTCTTCTAATTCTTGCATTTTTTGGTTTGTTTTTTCTTCCATTTCTTGCATTTTTTGCTTCATTTCTTCTTCCATTTCGTGCCTTTTTTGGTTTGTTTTTTCTTCCAATTCTTGCATTTTTTGGTTTGTTTTTTCTTCCATTTCTTGCATTTTTTGGTTTGTTTTTTCTTCCATTTCTTTGAGGGATTTTCCAATATCCTCTTTTAGGGCCTCTATCATTTTCATGAAAGTGCTTTTAAGGTCGTTCTCTTCTGCTTCCTTTGCGTTGGAATATTGGGGTCTTGCTGGTGTGGAGTCTCTAGAATCTGGCGGTGTCATATTTGTTTTTCTGTTGCTGACTGTGTTTTTGTATTGTCTCTTTCCCATCTCTTCTTCTAGTGGGTGCAGAAAGAGCCCCTTCCTGGTCTGGGGACCAGAGTTCCCTTTTGGTGGGTGCTAGTAAGTCCAGTAATCTGGTGGTTCTTCTATGCCTTGTCCAAATGCTGGTCCGTGGGTAGAGAAGAACAGGAATCTGGGGCGCTTAGCCTCCTACCTGGTCCCCTGGACCCTATGCTGGGTCCTGTTGTACCTGATCCGGAACTGCTACTCCCCTGGTCTCCCTGGCTCCTGTAGTTTCCTGGTCTCTTTGGTGGGAGAGAAGATCTGGAGTCTGGGGTGCTTGGCTCCCGCCGGGATTGGGAGCTCTGTGCAGTTCCCAGGCGATCTGCAGGCTCTGGAACACAGGCCGGGAAGCTGGCCTGTTTACCTGATGCTCCCGCCGGGATTGGGAGCTCTGTGCAGTTCCCAGGCGATCTGCAGGTTCTGGAACACAGGCCGGGAAGCTGGTCTGTTTACCTGATGCTCCTGCCGGGGTTGGGAGCTCTGTGCAGTTCCCAGGCGATCTGCAGGCTCTGGATCACAGGCCGGGAAGCTGGCCTGTTTACCTGATGATGCCAGAGGGACAGCTACTTCCCTGTGCACCCAGCCTTCTCTAGTTTCCTGGACTCGTTGGTGGGAGAGAAGATCTGGAGTCTGGGGTGCTTGGCTCCCGCCAGGATTGGGAGCTCTGTGCAGTTCCCAGGCGATCTGCAGGCTCTGGAACACAGGCCAGGAAGCTGGCCTGTTTACCTGATGCTCCCGCCGGGATTGGGAGCTCTGTGCAGTTCCCAGGCGATCTGCAGGCTCTGGAACACAGGCCGGGAAGCTGGCCTGTTTACCTGATGATGCCAGAGGGACAGCTACTTCCCTGTGCTCCCAGCCTTCTCTCAACTTGATTTAACTTTTAAAAAATCATAACTATTATTCAAAGTGGTTATACCATTATATTCCCACAAAAAAAGTCTCGGTTCTCAATTGGCATCGTTGTTTCCTTTGATAATTTCATTCTGCAATGTGTGAAATGATATTGTGGTTAAAGCTAAAGGCAACAGTTGCCACCTAGTGGCCACTTGTGCACATTACATCTGGGAAACTTGGCCCTAATGAGAAGAAGCCTAGCTTCAAAACGGATTTGTATTTATTGTGGCTTTCTTTCTGTTCTCATACTAAGAACAACCTGAGACCAGGCTTAAAATGTTTCCTTCTTTACCACTATTGGTACCTCAGACACTAGGCTGTAGCTCTTTTAGTTAAGAAAAAAATTATGTATCTGGGTGAGAGTGGGGCAGTGGGCAGCTTGTGGGAGGAGTCGGTTCTCTCCTCCCAGCACGTGATAGCCAGAGACCACACTTGTCAGGCCTTTACCTGCTGAGCAACCAGCCCTGACTTATGCGAACTCCAGAAGGGACGCTAAGATCAAGAGCAAACTCTGGTCCCGTGGAGAAGGGGGAAGGAGTAGTAACATTGCCAGGTAATAGAACTGTATGGCCCAGGGGGCTGGGGTCCATGTCCCTGCGCCAAAGAAAGAAATGATGGCTACATGGGTGGCACGGTGGCCTGCTTCTTTGTCACTGGAGAGAGGCAAACAGAGCAACGTGGAAGTTTCCTCTGCATCACTTACCAAAGAACCGACCTCGTAACTCGCCCTGCCACATTAGCCAGTGCTGAAATGAGCCAGTCGTGGTGGCTCAACCTATGATTCTAGCTCGGGGCAACTGGGGCAGATGCTGTCTGTAGGCCCTTTAGGATGGGGATCCTTGCTGGAGGAAGCACCCCTCCCTCTCCTGTGCGACAAAAGGTGTTATCCCCCTTCCTGCCGCCTCCTTCCTCATTGCGGGCTCTCCTCTGCACTGGAAGCCAGAATAACTTCCTCCTGGTCAGTGCCGTGGGCCATGGTATTTCATCTCAGCAGCAGAGAGTAACTAATACAGATAGTGAAGCCAAGGCTGGCATAGTGCACAGATGGTTTTCAAGACCAGCCCAGAATATGTAGTGAGGCCCCCATCTCAAGAGAGCTTTGAAGTTTGGTGTAAACTTTGACCCCTAAGACTCTTCAGTAAGCATCATGGTAGGCCCAACCCTGTGAACCCCTCAGTCAGTCCTCCTCCTCAGGACCAGGTCATGTCACATCTGTGCCAGCTCCTACAAAGATCACCAGTGGAAGTGGGAAAGCAGGGAGGCGGGCCACTGATGGCCTCCTGGTGTCTGTAGTGTGGGTCTCTGAGGAGAGTGTAGGCCACTGATGGCCTCCTGCTGTCTGTAGTGTAAGTCTGAGGAGAGTGTAGGCCACTGATGGTCTCCTGCTGTCTGTAGTGTGAGTCTCTGAGGGGAGTGTGGACCACTGCTGTCTGTAGTGTGAGTACCCCGTGAAGATTGGCCAAGGCACCTGGCTGTTTTTGTTTTCACTTTGGTGGTGCTTAGAGTGTAATTTGCAGGAATATTTAGCAACAGAGATGTAAAAACCTGTAATTGTTTCTTCTTAGGGGCAGCCCAGTGACAGGGAGGGAGAAGGGAGTAAAGCATTTATCCAGAGCAGGCACATGGCCCTTTATAGCTCAAATAGAACAGTCTGTTGGGAAAGTGTTTCCAGGTCCCCCTTCGGGTCTGTTAGAAAGCAAAGGCCTCCATTATCAGAGCCTTGGTGTCTCAGCTTCAGCAGAGTGTGGTCTGCTACAAGACCACAAATGCTCAGAGTCCTGCTAAAACCAGACAGTACAGTGACCTCATCACAGCTGGGATAGAGGCCTCTGCTTAGGTTCCAGTAGCAAGCCCCTGGACACGGTGATCTGCCATGGGTCTGACCATTGAGATGGCTCTATGGGCCCCGAGCAGAGGTTTCTGCAGGAAATGCAAACTCCCAAAGCATCTAAATGCTCACTGATAAGAGCTGCAGACGTGACACCAGTGCTGACACTGCCTCGCCGGACTGTGGGGCATAATGACCACAGGAAACACACAGTACAGTGGAACCTGTGTTTAGAAAATGTGCACAACACCTTGAGGGCAGTGGCAGGGCTTGGATGTAAAGCTTAGATGTTTTCTTAGCTCCCCCTGTGGCGCTGGGGTCACATCGCAGGTGCCCAGAGAGGTGCATGCCAAAACTTTTAGGGGGAAATGTTTGCCGCTTAACTACACTTCCACTCAAAATGGCCCGCATGTGTAAATATTGCACTGTTCTGCTTTCTGTATGTGTGGAGAACGTGTGCATCTTCTCACTCTGTGATCCACTTTGAGAATGTATTCCAGGAAGCAGTTTGATGTTTTCTCACGTTTTGTTTCGGGGATAGTCATGGGCATGCCTCTTAGACCTGTTGTTCTCAACCTTCCTAACACCCTAACGTACAATCCCTCCTGTTGTGGGACCCCAACCATGAAGTTCTTTTCGTTGCTGCTTCATAGCTGTAATTTTACTACTGTTATGAATTGTAATGCCAATATTTTCAGAGATAGAAGTTTGGCAAAGGATCGAGACCCACAGGTGTGATATCCCAAATTACATCGGCGTCTAACAGATGGTTGGGTGAGTGAGTTAGTACAGACAAGTCTTTGCTAAAACAGTCACATACACAGAAGACCTGCCTATCTTTGAGCCACCCATCACTCGAGGCCCACGTCAGCTGAGCTCTGTCAGCACAGGCTCCCTCTCCCACACTTACCCCGCCACCTTTATCATGGGCTTGCTCGATGGGTCATACTGTGTAATGTCACTAGGACTGAGAGGGTGAAGATGGAAACTGGGGTCAAATCCATCTTCTGTGGCCTTTTCAATGTGACAGAGCAGCAAGCACATAAATGACAAGACCAGAGAGGTTAATTAACATTTCCAAAGCCACAGAGCTATAAAGCTGAGGTTCAAACTCAGGAAGTCAGAGCCAGTGTCGGGGTCCTACCTAATTGTAGGCAACTGTCTAGGTGTTTCCTGAGGACCAGACAGCTGAGGATGCTACAAGCTGCTCTGGATGTGGCATTTCTTTCCCCACATCAGCAGTATAAACATACTGTGAGCGCAGGACAGCAGGACCCGTGACCTGACCCAGCAAACAAACAATCACCATAGTGGGACAAAATAAAAACCACAGGCTCAGCACCAATGATTTCTCTAAGTTTTTATTAAATATTTTTTCTACAGTTTGATCTTGTGGAAAGACTGAAGATGAACAAGTCAGTTACATTTTTAAAACAGCACTTACTCCTCATTACAGAGAAAAACAAGAGATCTGTGGCACATTATCTTTGGAACGATCTTTTGCAGATATTCTTAAAAAGAAAGCATCCTCTCACAGATCATGTCTGCCCCTTTCAAGTACTCTAAAGGGCAGCCAAGCCTCATTCACAAGCCAAGTGTGCAGGCCACTCCCGACGCTGGCGAACGCGTGGTGCCCCCTGTGCTTCTGTTGCACCAGGGCCCCCTGGCCTGCTCCCCAAAGCACTGTGCTGGTGAGGGCTGGCACACATGCCATGGCAATCAAAGAAAGTCATTAAAGACATACCAGTGATTTCATTATCACCTGGACAACCTATCCTTCTTAAAGCAATTTTAATAACACCAAGATTTGACTTTCCTCTAAGAAAGAAAATATATAATATAATATATAATGATAATAAATAAAAAAGGCAACCCTGCTCAGGTATCATCCAAAACATGATCACATTCAGAAAAAATTAAAACAAGATTGGGACACAACATGCCCACACCCCAACATGTACAGTGTGTGCTTGATATTGTGAGGGTATGCAGTATTAGCAATACACGCCATGGCCTGAACAGAAGCAAACTTAATACTGCCTGTACTGAGTATTGCTAAAACACCTAAGCAAAGAGAGCTCATCTCTTCTTTAGGTCAACCACGGCACAGCCCAGCAGGGAAGCTTGGCCTGCCTGTCAGTGGCCTTATTCCAGTGTCCTAGGGACAGAGAGGCAGCCTTCCTGTCCTCCGGCTCCCTCTTAGGTAGGGAAAGAGGCACTTTTTTGTCATCACAGTAACTGCTGATGTCTTGATGCACAGTGGAACAGAAAATAGTGTGATTTACCCCCAAGAAATCTCCAGGCAACCTGAAGAAACGTGCTTGAAAATGAGCCATCAACAAGAGCGTGGCCATGAGGCAACTGTTCTCACTGGGAAGCCAGCATGACTGGACCGAACACTGGAGATTACCTGGCAGAAATACCACTTGCAGATTTTGAAGGAAAATACCAACAGCATGCCCTTCTGCCCTTAACCTTCCCTTCCACAGGACAACAGACTAAAGGCACAGAAAACATCCTCACACCCATTACTTCCAAATGGACCAAGACCAACAGGAGGGAGACATCAAGACAGCCTCGCGTCTCCACAGCCGCGAGGCAGTAGCTCATTCTTCAGTGAGAAAAATCTACACTTCTGTGTTTCTCAGAGGAGCCCAAAATATTCTCGGGAGATTTAAATACTGCTAAGCAGTGGTAAAGAATGAAACAAATGAAGTGGTAATTTTCAAAGATGTTTTTGTAGTGTTGGGAAAATAAATCAAGAGAAAGAAGGAATCTGTAGGAGGCATGGAAAGATTTTAAATTTTTTGTTTTAAAGCCCAACTCATTTACCTTAAGACGCACAAATACATCTCAAACTTCACAAAGCCAGAAAGGAAACTAACCCTTGAAGCTGTGACAAAACGAACAGCATGACTTCAGAAATTGTTTGGTCAACAAAGGCACAAAAGATCTAAGACAAACCTGTCATCCTCTGTGTCAAGAGACTGTAGCTGTGTGTGGAGCACACAGCGCTTCAGAAACAGGAACCCTAAGAAGGGGCCCTGTCCCTAACATCAATACACAAGGTATCAGTTAAGGCACATTTTCAATTAGGATGTGGAAGATCCCACGCTAAATGTCCTAAGATCTAGAATAAGAGAACACAGCGGGGTAGGTGGGGTCCTGACTGTCCAGAGGATGGACAGACATTTTTGTCAAAACATTACAATAAATCAGGTACTCCTCCCATGTGGCCTGCCCTCTTGGCATCTTAGCAGAATGACTGGCTTTAGTGACATGTTTTTATTATTAGCTAGTGGGGCTTTTACATGTCAAATTTTAATTATTTCCAAAAGAAAACATCCCACACTTGGGAAATAGTGTGTGTCCCTCTACTTTATATTGAAGACAGGCAGGCCATACACACCCTTTGTAGCGGCAAAGGCAAGATTGCCTCACCATGAAACCATGTTTTTCTGTGGTTACAAGAACATCCCACATTCAAGGGGGTTAATTTTATAGCCTTTCCAAATTAATTACCTCAGGGGGGAAAGTGGCTTTTGGGGACTGTAAGCATACAGTGAAAAGTGCAAATAGCTTAAAGAGATTCTCCAGGTTTCCACGATGAATAGAACAGCTCTGACCAGTCACCGTTACACTCTACTACAAAGGCAGCTGGAGGCTTTCTCTCTTTAGGTACAGCTTTGTGGGAAAACTATCTACAGACCAAATTGGTGTAAACAGGTCTGTCCAAATTATTAGTTCTCAAGGTACAAATGAAATTGTAGTATATAGAGTTGAGAAAAGGCATCCAGTACAAAGGATGGAGCGGCCCATTCTTCCTGCACGGGCTGAAGGTGTTCAGTCAAGGGGCACAGGGTCTCCTGACGGGACACACACGTGCTTTGGCAAAATGTGCCTGGACCAGGACCAGTTGCAAGCAACAAGCAGCTTGTTGTGAAGGGACAACCAGCCATGGGAGAAGGGAAAAGATCCTGAAGAGCCCACAAGAGGTGATGTAGAACCAGGGACGACCTACCTCGTGCTGCAGCTCGGCTACCAAGTTCTTCAGATCATCAATACAAAGAACTGCTTCGTCAGCTCACAGACAGTCTACGCTCAGATCTGCACAAGGCAGCCTTTCTCTGGTGTTACCCAAAGCAGAGAAGCCCACACAGACACCTGGCATCACACTCGCCTGCAGCCCTGTGTAGATTTACCAAAGTACCAAGAAAGTCTCACCCACCACACCCCAGGGACCCCCACTAATCTATAGGTACAGACACATGGCATGGCTTGTAGGAAGCGGAGTCAGGGTGAGTGAGGAAAAGCCATAACATGCTTCCATCATGTGAATACCTGTGCAAATTTTACTTCCTAGAATGGGTAAAAGAATTGGCTTTTAAAACAACACTGCACTCAAGAGTATTCCAGTAATATCCTTTGCAGTTTCGGTGAAGGCCTGTGCTTATGGGCAGGTGTGAACCATGAGTGTGCCCTCGGTCTAATGTGGGCGGGGCACACAGCTTGGGCGAGCACAGGTCCTCTTCAACATTATCGAATCGCTACCTGAGAAGACGGTCTGGAAGGAAGATGTGTGGTAATGGATTCCTTTTGTAAGTTGGGTTAACCCCTCTGCCCCAGATATCCGCATCCCCTGGATAATCAAGGGCTTTGGGAAATTGAGTTTTGCTATAAATATAAAACAATTTGTAGCAGAAAAATACAGCCTCTGTAGGAAGACCTCCCTTTCCTTCACCGATGCACGCGTTGCCGTCAGCACCTGGGACTTTAGTAGATGATGAAGTCCAGCCCGAGGCAAACGCTGGCTCCCTTTGCCCACACCATGGTGGGGACTGTACCAGCAACCCAGGCTGCTGCTTAGCCGGTCACTGCCCAGGCTGTGGCAGCGGGAGGAAGTGCGGGGAGACCGTAAGATGGATCCTGGGTCTAGATGCTGCCACTTCTCTAGGACTGCCCTGGGTTTGCTTTGAGTGAAGCCAGAGAGACCAGAGCTAGACTACGTGCAGGACTCTAGGCACTGGGGGGCGGGGGCAGGTCGTCACCTTCAATCTCTAAACAGCAACACTCAGTGTCAACAAGGCCACTGTTCGCTGCAGGAACTGAGCACAGCGGAGCCCTTCACAACTTCTATTTTACAGGCAGCCATTAGAATTTATTAAACAATGTTTTCCTTTAAAACTTGAAAAGAAAAAATATATATCCATAAAACCCTTCACCAAAAATTATTATTCAAAAAAAATTCCTTCTGGAAGTGAACTAGTGTGGCTCCTGAGATGACAGGAATCGCTGTGAGACTTGAAATGGCTGTCGCTTGTATGCTACTGTTCAAACAGAAAAACCAAACCAGAAATGTTGCTGGACCTCATCTGCCGCTTGGGCTCCATTGCACTTCCGTCCTTCCATTAGGAAAGGCAGGTCATCATTCCCACCGTCCGCTCTGCTAACCGGTGTCCAACCGATGGCCACGCACACAGCTCTTTCGAGTTTAAGTGGGCAAGCGTTCTGGCCATCTGACGGCACTTCATTTGTTGAGTGTGACATCCCGATCAGACGGTTGTCTACACTGGGTCAAGGCTTCCGCGTGTGCAAAGACATTCCAGGGCATCAAGTAGAGCCCAGCCCGCACTAGGGGGTTTTGGGTGCTTGCTTCAGCCGCTGCAGACCTTGTCTTGTGTAGTGCACCAGGTCCACCAGGCTGCTGTTGAGGGCCAAGACGCACACCTTCGTGCTGAGCTGGGCAAAGAATTCTGCAGTAAAATCCAAATCAACTAAGAGTAAATACATGCACAGCAGCATCAAGTTAAACTGTAAAACGGTCGGAAGACAGTACCCCACACCATCCTGTGGCTCACTTAGCATGCTCGTCTGTAAGTGCTGGCTACAGCCTTCCCTTCTGAGCACATAACTCATACCTAGAATAGTGTGTGGTGTGTGTGGTGGCCAGCTGATGCATTGTGAGCAACGAATGCATGAAGGAAGAGGGGACAGATTGCCAATAAGGCAGAGGCTGTGGAGAGATGGAGAGCTAGAGAGGTGGTCACTTGTCCCACCAGGAAGATCTAACAGTGGTCACTTATGGTGAACTTAGCTGGCACAAGCATCATCCGCTTCCCCTGACTCAAAAACCTGGAGCTCCCGATCCTTCCCCAGATAGGTCTCAATAACGTTTGCTACGCTGTATGCCTCAGAGTGTAGCTGGTCATCTTAACAATGCCGAAGACAAACGAACAGCCTGGGGCCACGCTGCTTCATCTCCAATGTGCTGAGCCGAGGGGCAGACAGCCAGACCACATCCCGCTTCAGCCACCATTTCAATTCGGGCTGAAGCAGCGACGCCAACAGGTGTGAAGAGGCAGAGTGTGAAAGCCAATTCTAACTTGGCTTGGCAGGGATCTGGTTCCCACCACAGACCTCAAGGAAGACCTGCAAGCAGGCTATGAAGCAGAGCAGAGGGCTAAGAATGGCTACCCATCTCTTGCTTCACGAAACAGAATGTAAACATGAACCCGAACCCCTCCCACCTGCTGCCAAGAGCCACTCACCTTTGTTCTTCTTTGTAAGGGCCTCTGCCTGTTCCCAAAGGTTAAAGGCCTTAAGGACGTGGGATGTGATGGTGACATAGGATGAGGTCATGTTATGGATGGTGACTGGAGTAGTGACGGTGGCAGTCACCCCACTGCCCCCCAGACTGCCAGCACTTGACTGGGAACCGACAGAGCTGGCAGGAGAAGGCATTGGGGACAGCGGGGATGGGACGCCTGTGCTTCTGCAAGGATGGAGAGAGAGAGACTTGGTCAGTCACACCAACCAGCAGATGTCAGACTACTGTCTCTAGAACTGCAGCCTAAACTTCAGGGTATGCTCCCCAAAACTACAATCACTGCTCAGGTCTTTCTTTCAAGGCAGACCTGGAAGATGGGCCTGTGTTCCCAGCACTCTCATCTGAACTAAGCCTTGGAATCTCACAGAGCTGGGCACGGCTGAGCCTTGCTTCCCCGCTCAGGCCTGACTCAGAGCCGCCCCCAAACATCACTTTCTAGGCATTTATCTTGCTTTCCCTGGGTCTCAGCATCACAGAGGTGAAGTGTTTGCCCGACTCTTATAAACTGCTACTGAGTCAGTAACCACAGGCTGGGTACAGTGCCTGGTTCCGAGGCCCCAGGATGATGGCCTGGTCCCACAAGTTCACATGCTTCAGTTGGGGCCAGGGAGAGACAGCTCAATCACATAACCAAGATGCGGCAGAAGCTGCCGACACTCAAGAGGGAGCTGCAGAGGGTGGTGGCCCCTGCTGCTGTGAGGACTGTCACGAAGAGGCCACCCTTGCTAAATCACATGACTGACAGCGTGTGCTCTTGGACTAGCCTCCATCCAGGGCGGTTTGTGTTTGTTTGTACTATGAAGGCTTCACAAACTTGTGTCACCTTGCGCAGGGGCCATGCCAATCTTCTCTGCAGCGTAAGAGGCCGCATGAAGCCCCTCCTTTTCTGATTGCTGGAAGTGGGTCTGTATTATAGTTAATGTTCTCTAAAAGCAAGGCCCGGAAGAAGCGGCTCCCTGAGGAGCACAGACCAACAAAACAAGGGATGCATGCAGTGCTGCCTGACTCAGGACGTGAGATGGAAACCTCACGGGTTTGAGGCCAGCTTGGGCTACCGAGTGAGGGAGGCCCTGTCTTAGACAAAGCAAACAGTACTGGGCAGGACCATCAAGACACATTCCAACATTCATTTTGATCTCGAAACATTCTAAGGATTCTGCCTGTCTTCTTACAGCAAACGTGAGCAATTTCTGTTCACAGAATGTGTTGGGGGCAGCGGAGGAGATCTTGCTAGGCATGCACCACCAGTGTGGGTCCTGGAAATGGCCAAGGATACACGGGTCTAGAAAGCTCGTTTGTTGAAATGCCAGGAGGATTTATCAAAGCAAGGGAGAAAGAACAGCAGTTTCTGTTGCTGGTTTCCCCCTAGCACTCTTGTGACCTTAGATACTTAACATGCTTGAGTTGCTGACTGCTCGCTGCCTCTCCGGTCTCTGCAGTTACACTTCCCCATTAGCCACAGACTAACTTGCTACCCACAGCAAACCATGCCCCAAAATATCATTGTTTGTCTTGATTCAACAGAAAGGGCACAGTCTCAAACTCTGATTGCTGTGTACTAAAACTGTTCTATTATCGTTAATTTCTTTGTGTGGTGCAGAGATTAAAAACCAAGAGACCCACACTGACGCAGAAAGTCACTGCTCCAGAGCCCACACAGGCTTAGCCACTGCTATGAATCTCCTGCTGTTTCTGCCTTCACACCTGAACGTACACAACAAAAGATGCAGCTTAGGAGACTAGCTGGGGTCTTAGGCAACTCACTGGGAAAACCTTGGGATGTACCGACTGGCAAGTAAGAGGGGACCACTGTACCTTATATGTTATCAACCTAGATGTAGTTTATACCCGTTTCTCAGAAGGGCAGAGGTAGCTAATGGTTTAGGTTTAAAGAGCCAGTGCACATAAAGGTGAACTACATGATTTTTGAACAACCCAGTCACATACACAGAAGCAGGAGGTGAATGACTTGACTGTATCATTTAGCTGTATTTACACTTGCCTGGCCATGCATGGAGAAGGTGCCTGGGCCACTTTGGGAGAACTCTTGTAGTGGTCACTAAGAGTGCGAGAATACTTCATGACTATGTCTCTTTTACAGCGAAACATGGCCATGTTCAACAGGGACTGGCAACGCAAGCTGTGAATGAAAACAGAGGTTACCGTGAATTGTGGATGGCCTCCCGGTCAGAGTGCCCACTACGGGACACACTGCAATCAGCCCTTGTGAACCCGCTGGCTTCCCCTCTCTGGCGGGGTGGGGTGGGGTGGGGGGGTGGAGGGGTGTCCTCTCAAGCATCTCGCCACACCGTACACCGCCACCAAAAGTAAACAATGGCAGGAAAACAGAAGCACCAATATCACTTGAATCCTGAGACCACAGACGAGCCCAGCAGCCACTTTCTAATGGCCACAGCGGGTTCACCTGCCTTCTGCCACAATTCTCACTTCAAGAAAATAAATTAATCCCAGCACTGCTGAGGCAGGCAGATCTCTATACAGACCAAACCTGGCCTAAAACTCAGAGTTCCAGGATAGCATTTTCCTTTGATGAAAAAATTATCTACATAATGGCTATTTATACAACAAATAAAAATGTACAAACCATAAAACGGCAAATATCTTGTCTTGTATTGGCGCCGTGGTATCTGAGAAGGATTTCAGTGACATGGTGAACCTGCAGGGAGGGAGATACAAAAGCGCACGAGATTAAACAGGTCGGTCACAGGAGCCGGGCTGTGCTCGCTTCCCCTCGTGTCCTCCAGAGGGCATGAAGATGAGTGCAACACAGATGTGTGGGGGTTGAGAGCAACCACGAGCCAGCTCAGCAGACCTGGCCCCGAGCCTGCTCTCTCCTGAGACCAAGCTCGGCCACGTCCTCACTAAACCCTGATGAAGGGCAGGGAGCCCGCACTGGAGAAGACACCAATAGGAAACCTAAGCTGGGAAAGAAAAGTACCCCAGAGACTAGCAAAATGGCCTGGGTGTGCCCAGTCATCCTGTGTTCCCTCATCCACGACATACTTTAATTCAGGACAAGAAAAAAGTTTGTGGACCAAGCCAGAGCCTGGGTCATGACAGGGAGGTGCTGCCACTGAGCCGCAGGGCCCTCTCCAGGGCTCCTCCAGCTGTCTTCACATCCGAGGAGAGAGAGGGAGGTCTGCAGGGGGCAGAACACCCCAGTACTTACTTAATGAGGTCTATGGTTTCGGAGTACACCGAGTACGCAGACTTGGCTGAGCTTTCTGACTCCGTGGCCATCCCACACTCAATAAAAGACAGGATGGCTTCCAAATACTTGAAGGCCTTTCCAGCCTTGTCCGCCTGTGGGAGAAGAACACACATTCTGTCCTATAACTTCTCTTATGTCTTATGAGAGATGAAAGAATAAACGGAACAAGATGAATTAGCCATAGCGCTCAGCTCTGACCCTGTGAAAAGTGGCTTCTAGAAAAATTCACTAGGGAAAAGAAAGGAATTCTATATTAAGACAACTCTCAGAACTTCCCCAAGCACAAAGGGCACAGCCCTGTTAGTGGCTGCGATCCAGTCACTCCAGCATCTTAACAGTCACCAGTTTCTTTGTGGAGGTTGAGGCTTATCGTCTTATAGGCCTCTTATATAAAACATCTAACTGATCACTTGATGGCCCGGCAGACAATTAATCATCTTTGACATGGAAGTCTTTTGTCAGGACATGCCCGGAGCCAACAGGGACAAACTCTCAAAATCCCCTTCAAGGAAATATAAACAAAATCAGATATTGGTGGTCTGCCTAATCCTAAATACACATTCGGTCACTTGATCTTGCTGAGTGGCGCACAGCCAATTCAGCTAAGCAGAAGTGTGGCAAACAGCCCACTCTCTGCACGTGGCATATGACACACACTGAGCACAGCTGGCTAACACGGGCCAGCTTGTAGGTGGTGCTAACGCTTCCATTTGCTCTGTTCAGAGGGGAGGAAAACAGTAAATAAAGACACTTGTTGGAAACGGGGAGGCAGACAGATCCTCCTTAGGCTGCTCTGGGTTTCCTTGTGTTGTTGCTGTGCATTAGGGGTAGGGAAAGTGCTCTTCCCCTGCTACTGCTACCTGCATCTTACCACTAAGGGACAAACTGGAGTGTCACATACACATGTGCGCGCGCACACAAGCATGCACCTGCATTTCAGACACTATAGCTTTAAATATTTCAGAAGTAACTTAGTAATTTTTCCTACAGAGCATAAGCTCAAAAAGGTACTGACAGAAAAAAAATATGTCAAACTAGTACGTCTCAATGAGCTGTATAGGTTGTGACTAGTTTGCTTCATTGATGGGACTCTAATTCTCATTATTTTATTGCCACATATGTGGGTGTTTTGTCTGCATGTGTTTATGTGCACTGTGCAAACAGCTGTGCCTGCAGAGGCCAGAAGGGGGCGTCAGATCCTCCAGACCTGGAGCTGCCATGCGGTGGTGCTGGCAACTGAGCCTAGGTCCTCTGCAGGAGCAGCAAGTGCTCGTAAGTCCTGTGATGAAGCCTAGGACTCATAATTCTCAAACTTGTTCATTTAAAACAATTTCTCTTGGGGAATTTCCAATATTAATATTACCCTTGGTACATAAATGAAGTATCATATAACAATCATCCCATGCCCAGTTCCTTAAGTACTCTGTAAGGCTAACAATGGCATTCCTGTCACAATGCCCATCAATCTCCTCAAATAGTGCTAGAGGGGTCCAGCTGGAATTCCCCACTCGCGGGGAGGACAATGTAAAGGTGAAATACACTCCGAGTCCAGTTGTGCATTTCACTGCCCAGATGCCAAATGAACAGCTCTGCCGGGTCATGGAATGGATAAAAGATAGCAGCTAGGCATGGTGACACTCGCTGGTGACTCTAGAACTGAGAGGCTGAGGCAGGGCGGTGGCTACATGTCTGCAGCCAGCCTGGGCTGTATAAGATCTTGCATAAGAAGCAGAGGAGGGCAATGTTACTCAACCATGGGGAGGGTGGCCATATGCAGGTCACCAGTGGAAGCAGCAGGTCCTAAGAAAATTTGTTACAATGGGATGCAGTTGGTACAAATCAGGGGGTCCTGACCCACCGGGGAAAAGAAGATGCAAAGAGCAAACCCAGATTCCTTGGAGTATTACAACTGTTTGACTAAAACAGTCAAAAGCTAGCAGTGTCTAAGGTCGAGCAAGTTTTGGGTATCTGCCTATGGCGCAGAGCAGTCGCCCCCAAACCTGAAAGAGTCCCAGGGCTGCAGCGTCTTGGAAAGCAGGGAAGAGGCAGCTCAAGCGACACGCTTGGCACAGGCAGAGCTGCCCACATGCTGGGTACAGGGTAGTGTCAGTACTAGGACCAAGGGGGCTTGCCACCATCCCTCACAGCACCAAGCATGGGAGCTCACCAAGGACCATTTTATCTGATAACAGGGGACCTGCAGCCTGGGGTAGAAAGGCATATGCCAAAGTCCCGGTCGGTGGCCCAAAGGAGGCAACTGAGTCAGAGCCAACAGGTCTAGCTGGGAGTCTTCAGGAGCAATCTGTCCAGAGTGCCTTCCAGGAAGCTAATGAGATGTCTCAGCATGCAAAAGTGCTTGCTGCCCAACACGGTGACATGGCTGACCCCTGGGACCTACCCACGGGGTGGACAGAGAGCTGGCCTCTGAGAGTTGTTTCTGATTGCGGCACAACCCCCACCCCAACAAATGTGAGACTCAGGGTGTGCACATGTGACCCCACCAAACAGCATGCTGCAGGACGTAAGAACACACTTCATGTCTACAGTTAACAGCAAACCATCCCCTTCCAGAAGTTCAGCAGCTCACAAAAGTGAGGATGGGAGGCTTGACAATTAGGGGAGTCAGTCGAAAGTAAGGATGTTTATAGTCTGCAGCTGACACTGCCTTCCAATGGCCAGCTATCTCCTCGGGTCAGTGCATAAGATGAACTAGGCTTCTTCACCTGGCATAGTGTTTAGGGTGGACACAGACTGAATTAATAGTCAGTCATGTTGTACATCTTAAGGACTGATTGAGTGAGTGAATTGAGAGAGAGAGAGAGAGAGAGAGAGAGAGAGAGAGAGAGAGAGAGAGAGAGAGAGAGAGAGAGAGAGAGAGAGAGAGAGAGAGAGAGAGAGAGAGAGAGCGAGCATTCATACATCATACATTAAACCGACATCCCAGAGATGAGCTTGCACTCAGGCAGTTTTAAGTCTGTACACAATTGATCAGACTGAACAATTCCCCCTCAGGCCTCACTCCTGCTGCTGCCCCCACCCCAGAGCCCCTGCACACAGTCGTCCTACCTGCTGCCCCATCCCCCACACATAAACACTCCATGGTGTGCAATACGGCAGAAGGAGACCACAGTTTTTCCCCTTAATCAGAGACTGTTTAACCAAGGCCATAACCAAGACTGACCATTGCCTCTGCTTTGCACTTCAACTTTTTAGCCTCCTTCATGTGAAAATCAGCTTGCTGTCTGCAAAAAGTAAACAGAAAAGGCAGATGTGAGTCTAAACCTAAAGTGACTACCTGGGGCAAAAGATGATGAAACAGAGGGGAACTAAAGGGTGGGACAGGGAGAAAGCAGGGGGGTGGGGTAGGGGGTGGGGCGGGGTGGGGGTGGGGGGGGTGGAGCTCACCTGTCAGACTTCACTTGTGACTTCCCTGGTTTACAGTTACCATTTGGCAAAGAAGGCACTGGGAAAGGGTTTGCAGCCTCTCCAGAAGACCCCTTTAAAACACACATACATCACCCTTTCAGGGACAGGACCACTACCCTGGCAGCAACGGCCCTCCAAAGCCCAGGGTAGCAGGGTTCCCAGGAAGTCAACAGCAGTCGGCTTGGTCCAGCATTTCCCGAGCTACAGACTTAACTGGAGCTACAGGAGAAGAGCAGGTAACCCAGCAAAGCCTGCCCTCCCCCAGCACGACCCGGGCTAACTGGAAGCCAGGCCTCCCAACTTATTTCCTGTTATGACCAATAACTGAAGTATTTGAGATTAAAGTTCCAAATGAAGAAGTGAACTAGCTCATTTCTTTTTTTCTTTTTCTTTTGGGGGGGGGCGTTGAGGCAGGGTTTCTCTGTAGCTTTGGAGGCTGTCCTGGAACTCGCTCTGTAGACCAGGCTAGCCTCAAACTACAGAGATCCTTCTGCCTCTGCCTCCCAAGTGCTGGGATTAAAGGTGTGCACCACCAACACCCAGCTGAACTAGCCCATTTCTTAAGCCAAGCATCTAAACATGTGAAAATAATGCATGATGAAAGCTAGTGTGATTTTTCTCTGGTTCACTTTAATAGATGACCCCTCCCCCATTAGCTCTTTAAAAGCAACTCGAGGTTGTCATCCTAAAACAGACAGATGTCCTGAGATTGGCAGGAGAGAGCCCAAAGACCACACGCATTCTGTCAGTGCCACTGCTTACTTTGTGTTCAGTGCCCCGAGCCTGCACTTTTCTGTGCTTGGGGACGGAAGAGTCCTTACAGTTGCTCTTGGTGCTGCTGGCACTTTTGGGAGGGTCCTGACTACAGGAGTCTGCATCCGGCTTTGACCTCTTGTGTGCAGTTTTGGTTGACTTCTGGGAGGACGAGGAGGAGGAGGACGACGACGACGACGACACAGGTGGTGGAGGAAGCATGTCCTTTCTTGAGGACTCCGAGGAGGGCCTGGGTGTCCTGGAGAGCAATAGTAGTCACAGCAGAATCCACATCACACTTTGCCATTTGTTTACGGAAGGAGGAAATGGTCAGGGGCACCAAAGACTGCAGTGTCACAGAGCCTGAAACTATGGTCAGGGGCACCAAAGACTGCAGTGTCACAGAGCCTGAAACTATGACACAGAGGGGCCAGGTTCTAGGGACATCTGATGCTCTGTAAGACCTAACTCGAAGTTAGTAACCAACTGTGGCGTTTCCACTCAGCTGAAAGATTCCCTGACCATTCCCATCTCTCACCTATCTGTATCTTAACCAGACAACAGGCAAGCTCACTGCTGCCGCCACATCTGCCACTCTCCTGTATCTGGTGGCACGCACCCCCTGCCCATCCACACCCCCAAGGAGCATTTGTGATGCACTCTGTTTGCCAAAGTCTCTTGTGAAACAATTTCTTGCGTAAGCCTGAGAGAAGTCACACCATCTTGACACTGCTACTGTCATCTGTCATTTCTCTCCCACCCAGACACGTGAAGGCCACGTAGTTCTCACTGGACTCTCTAAGGCAGAGCTCTGAACCTGAGCTATCCCACGTCCAAGCAAGACCCAGTAGGAACTCCAGGGCTGTGAGCAAGTTTTACCCATTTCCCATCCTGCTTAAAACAAAACAAAACAAAAAGGAACATATAGTGCTTTTCTTCTCTGCCCCTGTGCCCACACAGTTCTAGGGGTTAAGTCTAGGACCTCACTGCATGCTGTAAGTGCTCCATACCACTGAACTGTACGCTGACTCTTATTTTCTCATAGGGGGAAAAATCCAGGCGAGTGACGGCTGGGTGGCAGAGCACGTTGCTTAGCGGGTACAAGGCCCTGACTACATCCTCAGCACCACTAAAAAAGGGGGTCTCAGAGAAGAGAAACCCTCGGCGTCTAGGAAGTGCTCCTTAGTGGTTTGCTGCCAGGCAGGGGGCTGTGGATTCTCATGGGACATTCGTGGATGGGACCCCACGAATGAACACACTGGCTCAGAACCAGTCACTTTCACAGTGCAGGAGAAAGCCTCTGTCCTGTCACCACCAGAGGCTAGGCATCCGTCCCGGGGTGTTCCCAACCGCCGTACTCACTTGGTTTTGGGGGGTTCCCTGTGGGAAGGTGAAGATGAAGCACAGTGTGACTGGACGTCCTTCTCCAATTTGATCTTTTTGTTTGCATGGTCTTTTTCTGAGTCACCCTGTTATTGGAAGCCAAGAAGCACAGCCGAGTGTTAGCAACCTCCATACAACGGGAGGGGGACACCTGTGCAGATAGCAGCGCCGTCACTCACACGTCAGAGGCTGTGTGCAGTGCAGTGGAGAAAGCACTCTAAGTAATGGGCGTCGGTGTGATGCAGTCAACGTGCACATAATGGACATTGATCAGGACCTTCTCTGGGCCACCCCTGATGCTTGTGGGTTCCTCCACGTCACTCCTATACCTGTGTATATAGTCTTCCTTCTTTATGTCATTCGTGTGTGTGTGTGTGTGTGTGTGTGTGTGATATACCCTGGCTCCTACTTTGTCATCTATGTGTGTACATATTTCCTCTCCTACTTTATGTCATTCATATGTATGTGTGTATACATATATATACACACACAGCCATTCTCCTGCTCGCTCTCTCTCTCTCTCTCTCTCTCTCTCTCTCTCTCTCTCTCTCTCTCTCTCTCTCTCTCTCTCTCTCTCTCACACACACATACACACACACACACATACACACACACACACGGAGAGGGGGTTTGTCTGGCTGTAGTGTAGAACAGGCTGGCCTCAAACTTAGAGAAATCCATCTGCCTCTACCTCCCAAGTGCTGAGATTAAAGGTACGTGCTACCATACTCAAGCAATTATTATATTTTTAATTCTAGGTTCTTCATAAGACAAACCATGTGGGATTTGTCTGAGTCTGGTTAATTTCTATGACTTCTAATCCCATCCATTTCCTGAAATGACACGATTGCATTCTTCTTTGTGGAGAAGTAAGAGACTCCAGGATGTTCTAACTTTGATGTGGTTTCTATTGAGACATATTTGGCATGAATAAAGGCCATTCTTCATACTAAGCAGGGAAGGTGTCAAGAATAACAGATGACAGAGGGCATGGACCCTCCAACACACCATCATGTTTCCAAATATTTAAAAGCATTATTATTATATGCAGGGACTGAGCAAATGAACAAAACAAAGACTAGTAAAGCATGGTATCCACGCTGCAAACGTGGGGTGACTGTGGCATCTCCCCTTTCCTTGTAAGACCAGCTACTCACAAAACTACTTTATGTTTAATCCTCAGAGTCCAATACTTAACAGTCTTCTCCAGTGAAGACTAAAGTGTTGTTGAGAAAGAAATGAGCTGGATGTGCCCTGGATATCCTACAGAAACAGCAGCATATATATGTGCCACATACAAAAATGGGTCCTTGGGGTTCTAATTTTCTGCCTTCTGTTGTGTCTTCAACCTTCCTACCCCATCCCCAGAAGAAATAGGTTTTTATTTTTCAAAGGAACTTGATTAAGGGACTGGAGATATAGCTGTCTTGCTGAATCTGTGAGTTCTAGGTTGAGTGAGAACTTGTCTCCAAAAAGAAAGAAAAAAAGTAGATCCTGACTGGGGAAGAAAGCCAACATTGAGCTCTTCAGACAGACAGACAGACAATTGGTTAAGTGACAGAAGCATGACTTCAGTGGGACTACGGAAGGAAAAGGAATTTACACGAAGATTTAAGTAACTTAGAAGAGCCCATTTATATAACTAAAATGTAAAATGCATTTAATTATTAAAAGAGCAAATGTTCATGGCAAAAACTATTCCCATGTGTCATTGACATCACACACACACACACACACACCCCACCCTTGCCAAAAAAAAAAAAAATCACACAGGATGGTATGGTGGCCTCTTCAGCTGGGACATTCAGAACAGCATGTTCTCTCTAGCAGATGGTGTGTGGTGACATTATGAGTAAGAGTCCCTCATCTCCAGAGCACTGAGAGCAAAGCTCTTGGCTGTGAGTTCCCTGACCTAGAAATCTGGGACACACAGTCAGTCCGGGACAATCCACAACCAAGCCCAGATCTTTGAGCTGTAAAGGAAGAAAGTGCTCCAAGGAACTGGGATTGGGGGTCCAGGTCTCACCACGCCTCACAGTAACTGGTGTGGGGTCCAGGTCTCACCACGCATCACAGTAACTGGTGTGGGGTCCAGGTCTCACCACGCATCACAGTAACTGGTGTGGGGTCCAGGTCTCACCACGCATCACAGGCAGGCAGGGGTCCAGGTCTCACCACTCTAGCATCCTCACCCCAAATCTCTCCAATGAGTAAGAACATACTAGTATGCACAGTGCCATGGAATACCCGCACACTACACGACCTGGTCCTGCTGAAAAAAGGGAAAAACTGTCTCCCTCCTCCTGGTGTCGTGCAGACACTTGTGCCCCAGAGTGTGCTTCTGTTCCTCTGTGGATGGTTTGTTTTGAAGTGGACTTGCCCAGGGAGGCACACAGAATGCTTGTTCTTACTAGCGTGGTGTGCACAGAAGTGAGTGTTCAGATGGAACACAGGTACAATACAAGATTGTAAGCCAAGGGAAGCAGCCATGACTGCAGGCCCTGAGCTCCTAGACTTGAACCTGGCTAGCCCAGAGTAAGCAAAGACTTGGAATAGTTTCAATACTAAGTACAGGGTACTTGATTCCCTAGGTAATACTACTAAAACTGTCACTAGCTTCCTTTTCCATTTTTATGTGGCTAATGAAAACTCGTCACAAAGTTGGTTTACTTCCCATCTTCCTGGGCAGCACCAACCCACCCAGCTTGCCAGAGGTGATCTGTACGCTGGGCTCTACACTGGTCTTTCCCTCGCTTCTTTTTAGTTCTTTAAATTGGGCATTTCACAGATAGTGCATTTGTATTTGTCCTCAAAGGAGACCTTGCTGGGGACCCTTCTTCCCCTGGCACCCCCCACTTTCATGTTACATATGTTCTGTTACCCCCCACCCCGCCCCCCAAGAGCTCTTCTTCTGGCTCCTTCCAGGGTCTCACTGAAGCTTTAACTTCTCATTAACCAGCACAGAGAATGGATGACACACACGAAGCAGAGAGGATACAGACAAATCAGTTGTTGCAGCCGGGCGGGGGTGGTGCATGCCTTTAATCCCAGCACTCGGGAGGCAGAGGCAGGCAGATCTCTGTGAGTTCCAGGCCAGCCTGGTCTACAGAGTTCTAGGACAGCTGGGTCTACACAGAGAAACTGTGTCTTGATAAAACAAACAAGGACAAATCAGCTGTGGCTCTGTGTAAGAGCTTACTGAACATGCATGAGGACGTCAGTTCAAATCCCTAGAACCCACATAAAAAAGCCAGGCATGATTGTGTGCATGCCCCATGTGTCCCCAATGTTGTAAGGATGGGGAAGAGGCAGGAGGATTGCTGGAGTTAGGTGGCTGCCAGAATTGATTTCAGTGAGAGACCTTGTCTCAGGAATATGGCAGAGGGTGATGCAGCAGGGTATTCGCCATCCTGTTCTGGCCTATGCACAGATGCACACATCTGTGTATAAATGGGCATACACCGCACATATCCACACACACACCCCTCCCACCCCCATACAGACACACACTAAGCACATACATACACAGAATTGCAACCATTGCTAGGAAAGACTGGGAAATGAGGTAGGAAAGCCTAAAACCATGACTAAAATGCCCCAAGTTCCATGCCACTGTGAGCATAAGCCAGAAGCAGACTCTTAATGGTGAAATTCAGAAGGGAGGGGTGCTGGTGTCACAAGACGACTTCAGTGTCATCGTGCTCAGAGGAAGGGTAGCACCCAACACATCCCTGGTTGAGAGGCAAAGATTATAATGAAAAGCTAAAGCAGAATTTCTGCCATGGATGCAGTAAACCCCATAGTACCTGTTTGTGCTAAAACTTCCTGCCACCCGAAGGCCCCAGGGCTTAAAAGGCTGCACAGATACAGTTCACAAACACTGCAACAAAGTGACAACTCTACATCTGGAGAAAACTAAGAATTTCCTTACAGGTGAGATGCTAAAACATGAACCTAAACAGAAGGTATTTCCAGGCAGTTTATGATGCAAAAAGAGGGGAGGCAAACACACACTGTCCAAACCCTGAAGTCCAGAAGGGAATGAGAGTCCATTTCTGTTGGCTATATTCATGTTGTGTGGGATATGCTTGGTATCACAACAAGTCACATACATACCACCTAAACACACAGCAAGTACGTTTCAGACAAGATGCTCTTCACCAGCTGACTGTAACTGGAGCCTGTGCCAATTAGAGACACAAGAGGAGCCGGCACACAGGACATCAGCTTCAAGGCAGGTAAAAATGCTAGGGTTTACATCTCACCCGGATCATTACCTTTCTCTTGGTACTCCAGACCGCAGGAACACGGTACCCAATACCTAACAGAAAGGCCGCCAGCAAAGGCTCCACTGCCTGCTCCCTGAGCACTGCGCACTGCACACTTGGAAGCGGCCTCCTGTCTGGAAAGGCCAGGCTTCCCCCAGAGAGGTAATGCTGTCTGTCAACCAGAACGTAAACTAAGAATGGCCTCCGGGTGATGTGCCAAGTGCTACTCCACCTACAGAATGGGAGGCCCTCCCTCCTGGGTGGACAGTGGCCTGGCACCTGCCTTGCACTGGCTCATCCTGAGGGTGCCTTGCAGTTCAAAGGAAACCGAAGGCAGATGACAGTAACTCGGGCTCTGACTTGTGGAAGGACGCTGGGAGCTTGGCTTGGATGGTGTAGACGAGGATCTGAGGAGGAAGCTAGGGTCCTGGAGAAGGGGTATGCATGGGCACAGACTGGCAGCATGGGGCAATGGAGGCGTGAAGCCAGAAGTACACTGTAACAGCCCTAGTGAGTAGAGTCACCAGAGTCAGAATATGGATCTTGGACTCTGTGACGCTCCAGAATCTTCCCAGGATACATGTGTGTACACAAAAGGATGAGTGAGGGAGAGGACAGACCAGGAGACAGGAGGAGTGCATCTACTGGGCAGCCATGAGAGTCTCGAGAAGAAAGCACTATGAGAGAGGAAAACAGACCAGCTTTACCTCTCCCTCCCTGGCTAGGCAGACAGACAGGTACCGATGACGGCTGCCACATGGCAGCCAGGTGGCAAGAAAGAAAACCTAGGAGACTTTTTAATAAATTCTAATGCATCCAATTTCGTACCCTCGACCTCTAAGGACAAAATCTGGGGTTACTAACCTGGCGGGATGAGGACAAGAAAGGACAATTGGCCTTTGGATGACAGAAGGCAGCAGTAACCATCCCAAGCATAAGAAACACTGCTTTTCCTGTCGCACACAATGACTTCTCTTCCTCTGTCCACATAAATAAAGGAATATATAGATACACTGATCCCCCACCAAAGGTCATGGCTTCTTGGTTACTAAATCAACTGTGTTAGAGCAAGGCTTCAGTGAACTCCTTCATTCCATCGATTTTTGTTAGAATGACCAGTAAGAAAGACTACCTACTTATTTAAACATACGACTGTAATCCCCACACTTGGGAGACAGAAGCAGAAGGGTCCTGGCCTCCAGCCAGTCTGAGCTACACAGCGAGAACAACACAACAATAGCAAAGGAACACCTGCTTGTTTGAGGAGAAAACTTTAAGTGAATGGATGAAATGAACCGGATGAACCGTCTTCTACAGAAAAGTGAGCACATAGTAGGACTCCACGTGGAGCTCCATGCTTGCTAGGGTGTTTCTAGGGTGCCTCCAATTCAGTTTTTCCTAACTTAGGAAAAGTGGGAGTTAGTACTTTAACTTCTAAATTGTCGTCAACATTTTGAGTGAGTACTCTTGGTGCAAATGTAGTACCTCAGTTTCTCCAGTGTGCCTCACGGACCATTCCTAATCCAGTTCCCTCAGGATGCCTTCATCACAGCACCATCCATCTTTCTCGTTGCCTGGCTTTCAGTCTGCACGGCTGAATCCAAGGCCCTACTAATGCTGGCGAAGTGGCCCACCCTGAGCTGCATGGCCGGGTACTGAATCCAAAGCCCTGATAATGCTAGTGAAGTGGCCCACCCTGAGCTGCATGGCCGGGTACTGAATCCAAAGCCCTGATAATGCTGGCGAAGTGGCCCACCCTGAGCTGCATGGCCGGGTACTGAATCCAAAGCCCTGATAATGCTGGCGAAGTGGCCCACCCTGAGCTGCATCGTGTCCTGCCACATGGTCTCCAATATTCTCATGAAAAGCCTTAATGACTGTGAATCTTCTTGAGAATTCTCGCTAAATTTCATCCAGGAGAGGGAGAAGTTCTGAGGGGCCTTTACATGAACTGCATAAATGTGAAGGATTTAGAAACTCTTAAATGTCCCTAATACATCGTTAGGAAGCCTTTTCTACTACTCACACTAGAAGGCCTTCACAATCTAAATTTGGGAAGAAATAGTCCCAAGTTAAAAGGAAGTTAGTTAGTATAACCTCTGCCCCAGAGCCAGGGAGGCCCGAATGGCGGTCACAGAGCTGACGCACAGAGTGGGTGACATACGCAATACCTCCCACCCTGATGTCCAGGAAGTAACATACTAAAGGACACATGACTCTGAGGGGTAAACACACAGCAGCTGGTGTTTTATTCACACCTACCTGAAAGCTTCTCAGTCAAGCTGCCAACTAATGACACACCCCAGGCAAGAATTCCTGGCTGCCTTATCCATACCAGCCACACTCGAGGAACACCTGAGCAATTTCTCTGCCCAAGCATCTGAGCTTTCGTGAGCAGCAACTGCGTAAAGGCTGCGCTCCATTGCTCCCAGCCCTGGGAGCATCGGGATTGCCTAGGAATTTCAAACTACCTGAGTGGGAGGGCCCCCTGCTGCCCCAGGTGACTACAATGTCAGGCTTGGGAGGTCTTCATTACAGCCAGGGTTTAAACCAATGGGTCCCACCTTGACCTGTCTCAGACAGATTTCCAAGCCAAATCTCTCGGTGCTGGCCAGAGCTTTGTGTGGACATAACCGCTTTGAGGTATGGTTGAAGGGAAGGTTTTTATTGTAGAGAGGAGGGGACCAAGAGTCATAAGAGCACATGGCCCAAATGGCAGGTTCTACAGGAGTCACAGCTAGGACTGGGAGGCCCATGAGCTGGAGAAGTTTAGGGTGGTGGGCAGGATAGAGCTGCGAGGAGACAGGACTCTGTAATGATGCCAAGAGAGCCTGCAGGACAGCATGCGAAGAGGCACCACAGCTAGCGTTTGTTCTCAGTTTCTTTTGGACCAGACACTTTGAAGAGCTCAATTAAGTGAACTCGATAATGCTCAATTAAGATGAGATCATAACTTCTCCATGTGCTGAACAAAATGTTTCCTGGGGTCTAACCAAAATGAGCTTCCCTTGGGCCATGCCTAAAGGTTCACCTTCCAAAGGGACAAGAGGGAGGAGCTCGCCTAGACCCTACTGAAGGCTGGGGATCCCTGACAACTCTAACAAGGCAGCACAGGAAACAAAGCTCCCCCTCCACTCCGGTGGAAAGCAGAAAGACAGACAGTGCCAGAGACCGTGTAAAACAAGCAGAGCTAAGAGAGGTGATGGAGGCTTGCTGGCAGGAGCAGGTAAACCAGTGTATCCTTGACACATGCTCTAAGATGGCAGATGCAGGAGCGCTTCTTCCTAAACAGGCCCACCACAATTCCTTTGTCTGAGAGAGACAGACGGGCAGACGGGGACGGATGGACGGACGGACGGGGACACACACACACACACACACACACACACACACACACACACACACACCTCATTCTGAAAGTTTTAAAATCTTTCTGGCCAGGTGGTGCAGACCTTTAATTGGGAGTCAGGAAGAGGCTGGTGATTTCTGTGGGTTTGAGATCAGCCTGTTCTACATACATGGCATGTTCCTGGACAGCCAGGGCTACACAGACGATCTCACCTCCACACACACCCCCAAAAGTCTTTTTTCTAGCTCAAACAGCATCTTCAGCAAGCACCTGAATCACCCCAAAGATGTGGTCACGCGCACTCTCATGTGTCCAACAAGCAGGTTCTGGAGAAAAGTCACCGTTTTCAGGGTGCTGGAGTCAGGCCGTATCTTTAAAAGGTGGAGAAACCAGTGGGGCCTCGGACATGACAGCAAGCTTCGTGGCCCTTCCCGGTATTTTCAATTAATGTTCCACAGCTGAAGGGTGCTAAATCTTATCCCTTGTCAGCAAGACAGTCGGCCCTGCTTGTGCTTGTGTGTCAAGATCTGGGCAGGCAGAGTGCCCCTGGGGAAACACTCCCTACTCTTACCTCATCACAAAGAAGCAAAAGAGAGAGAGAGTGAGCTAAAGCGCAACAATTTACAATAAAGACGACACTGTCCAAACTGGCGGCATGCCTACGTAATAAAAAAGTCTCAAGTGAGGCAGGTTTCCCATGAAAACTCAGATGCTCAGTCGTCTGCAGCTCAGCCCACTGGCTCACTTCACTCAAGATCTCTTACCCGTATGTTTAAACGGTCCTAGCAGCAAAGCATTCACAACACTATCATTCTAATTCATGGTTTCCAGGACAAAAGCATCACATGCCAGAGAGTGAGCTGTGATCTCTGCACACACTGAAGGCTGCCCTCAGAGTGATGCCTGGTGTGGAGAAAGCTTACCTCTTCCATGACTTGGGGCCCCTGACCCAAGTGACTGCCTGCAGAATGGGAAACAAGAGGGTGCAAGCCCCAGAACCCCAGAGAGCCAGTGAGGGCAAAGGCTTCGGGGATCCCTGGCCACGGCGTCCACTGCCAGGCAGGCATGCGTGGCCCTGCACTCACCTTTCTCTTCTTGGTGACTTTGCTGGAGGGGTCGCGGCTTCTCTTCTCGGTGTCCTGCTTCTTCGCAGCCGGCAGCTGCTTGTCGCCCACCTCCCTAGAGCGGCCCCCCTTCACGGAGGGCTGTGGGATCCTAGTGAGAAGGTCTAGGGTTATCTTCACCACCAAGCTCGTTGGCGGTGGAGCGTCCCTGAGTGGCGAGAGCAACTTGGTGTCTCTCAAGGGTAACAGGAGTCTGTCTTTGCGGCCATCCTCCTGGACAATCACAGCCTGTCGGCAGCCGCTAGTCCTGCTGCTGCTGCTGCTGCTGCTGCTGCTGCCACCGCCGCCGCTGCCACCCCTGCTGCTGGGAAGGGGGCCTTGGCTCTGAGTCAACGAGACAAGGGCAAAGTGCTCGGGGTTCCTGTCCCCAGCATTGTCCTTTGGGGGCTGAGGGCCTGACAGTGTCTTGGAGGGGGCCGGGGAACTCTTGTGTTTCCTCTTCTCGGTGGGGGTGGGCACAGCTGCCTGCGGCTTGGGCACGGCGGCCGGCGGCTTGGGCACAGGAGCTTCAGGCTTAGGCTCCCTGTTGCCCACAGCTCGTGGCCTGCCTTTCGTCTTCACCTTGGGCTTGTCTTTGGGAGTCTGCTCTTTCGAGACATAGGGAAGGGATCCTGGTTCACTCTCCGCCTGTGAGCTGGCCTGGGGCTCTGCCTGACCAGAGCCCTTGGCAGGTTTTCTGGGTTGCTTGGTTCCGATAGTTTGCCGAGGTGGGGGCTCCTGTTGGGCGGGGGATTTCTGGCAGCCCCTCTTCCCAGGCTGGGGCCCCTCGGCGGGACCTCGTGGAGCTTTGCTGGAACTCTTGGGGGCAGGGTCTTTGGACTCGGGGTGCTGCTGGTCAGTGGCGCAGTCTCCATCCTTACTTTCCTGGCGCCAGCGTGGGGACTCTGTGCTTCCCCGACCGTCGAGGGGCACCGATGGCTGGCTGACTTTGGTCAACCAGTTGTCCAGCTGCCATTTGTTTGTTGACGGAGGCTCAGGCTAGAAAACCAGAGAGAGAGAAGTGTTAACTAACCGGTGTTGGTAAACTATTCTTCTCTGTTAGCAGTCCCCTTCAATTCACAAACCAGAAGTCTGTAACCGTTCTTAAAACAGGCTTGAACAATTTTGCAATTTGAGAACTTCACCTAATAGATACTAACTAATAAGCAACTGGCAACTGCTAAGACACCTTTGTGGTATGTCTTTTGTACCGATGTCTAATTATGATAGAATTTGAACAGAATGAACACACTTTGACTTGTAATGTAGGAGATGAGGAATAAAAAGAACCCTTTTTTTCCAACTGATAAACACTTATCTAACACCTACTTTCTCTTATTTACTTAAAAACAGTAGTTTATATGTGATGGGATTACCAGTCTAACATAGAGATCTGATTTCCAAACTTTACCCAGATAGTTATGTCACATTAGCAGGGACTAGTCCTTCCCACTCTTTAGGGTAGACACAGCACCTTTTACTACAGGCAGCCAGGTCTAAAGCTGCATCTCTTCCTAAGCACAAAGACAAGATCCACAACAGACAGGAATATTGATTATTGGCCAAATAACTGATAGGGCAGATCAACAGAAGTCCTTAAATCCTCCTGTGAGTGAACTCTTGCTGCTAAATTAACTGTTGACGCATGCCATGTCATGGAATATGTGGCCATCCTACACACACACACACACACACACACACACACACACACACACACACACACACACACACACACTTACTTGTTGTTTTGATTTTCCAAAACAGGGTTTCTCTGTGTAGCCCACCCTGGCTGTTCTGAGACTTGGCTCTGTAGACCAGGGTGGACTCAAATTCACAGGCATCCACCTGCCTCTGCTGGAATTAAAGGTATGTGCCACTACTGCCCAACTTTTATATTGATTTAATATTTTACTTTGTAATTTTTATTATTCATCTTTAATGTTTTTATTCTGCTTTATAAATTTATGCAGTGTATATTAATTATATTGGGGGTACAAATGGCCAGAGGAGAGTGTCAGATCCCCTTAGAGCTGGAGTTTTAGGCCACTGTGAGCAGTTGGGTGCTGAGAACCTACGTCAGGTCCCCTCCAGGAGTACTGCATCTCCCAACCACCAAGCCATCCCTCTATCACTATGTGGCATCCTTACTTGAATTACAGACTATATGGGAAAGTGCCAGTTGATAGAGTCAGTGACAATTATATTTTTAGAAGACACCAAACATGACTGGCTTGCTCTGTGTTTCCCTCTTTCCCCAAGATCCACTCTTAGTAGTGGCTTCCATGAATAGTTAACTCATATACAGACCACCAGAGCACTAACTGAAAGTATTACGCATGAGATCTAGCTGATTAGATCATGGAGAAGAGCCACACAGTAGGTTGAACCTAATACAATTTTCTTAATTGAATTTTAGCATGCCGGGGAAAACTGGAAGCCTAGTGCCCAGTAGGCCAGCGCTCTATCACTGCCCTTTATCCTCAGCATCGCCATGGAAGTTTTTCAAAGGGAAAACAATTTTCCAAAGCGAAATACATCAAATAATCCAAATCTGCAAAACATGCAGGCCTAATACAAAGCATGTGCTGTGGATGCATTAGGTGAGGAGTAAGATGATCTAGGCTTTGTGTGCTCACAACAGAGTAACACCACAAAGAACCAGAGAAGTCAGGAGGGCTCCTGTAGGCAGACGAGGCTGGGCTCTTTCTGTTTACCCCACACAGCCCCTATGGTGACAGATCTCTTGTCCCGCCTCCAGCTTACACAAACTCACCCAGGTGCTCATTTGAATTTCAGCACGAGGGGAAGGAAGCCGACTACTATAATGTGCAGGGCATTTTATCACATGGAAATATAATTGTATTCGCTATTCTAACAAGGTAAGGTAGTTAAGAGTGTCGAATAACAGAGAGCTCCTTACCATATGACTTCCTATGTAGAAGACAGTGGTTAAGTGATCTGATAAAGCTGTAAGGCAGACAGTTTTATCAGGTTCAAACGCTTCCCACCATTCCTTGGGAAAGGCTGGGATAGATTGGTCAACACCTCTGACAGGATCCTCAGGACCCAAAGGAGGAGTCACTCCTGCAATTCTATCCCTAACACAGAGCAATACTGGGGTGCATTTAGTCATCCCTAAAAGGATATCCTGGTTACAAAAATAGCGTATTTTTACTTCCACTGTGGTCTTGAAGGTCCAGAAGGGAATCCTGTGGCCTGTTTCTACACAATAACCCTGAGTGGTGAGCCCAACGAGGAGAAAACGTAGACACAGCTCTTCCCCGTACCCAAATGAAGTTGCAAACGAGATGGCTGCTTAAGGCTAGGAATTATCTGTGTTGAGATGTTTGAATAAAAGATTTGGTTAAGTCAGAGTGTAACTTTAAAACAGAAGCACCAGGTGGGATTCAAGTTTGGCTTTTCGTTTTTGTCTTCCTTTTCCTCATGTACTCTGTTCCTCTCAATGGTGGTAAAACCTATAGACTGGAAGTAGGAGTGGCCTGAGTGTGCCTAAACATGGGCCCCTTGGGTCTCCTAACCTCTGGAAGTAACACATGTGTGTGTATTTTAGAATGAACTATGGTTCAAAACAAAGCTTTGCGGTATACGTATTTGCCTATATATTGCACAAACCTGATAACCTGAGTTTGATGCCTGGGGACCATGTAAAGTTGGGCAGAGACATCAGCTACTCAGTTGTCCTCTGCTCGTCTTCCTCAAGTGTTCCTCACACAAGTGTGCCCTCACAGACACACACTAAATAAATAAGCGGGCATGGTGGTGCTTTAATCCCAGCACGCAAGAGGCAGAGGCCAGCGGGTCTCTTCCAGCCTAGAATACAGAATGAGTTCCTGGCCACCTAGAGTCTCATAGAGACCTTGTCTCAAAATTAAAGATACAAGTGGGTGAGAAAGTTAGAGCTAGTATACGGTTGATTATATTGTCCATGTCACCCTCAGCTAAAAGGGTAAACTTTAGGAGATACTCATTTGAAAGGTGACAAAAAGTAGATAGATAACTAAGGGAAAATAAAGTAAAACTAAGACAACATATTCCCAAGAGCAAGCCCCAGTGCGGAACGCAGACCTCACAGGCGGAGACACAGCTTCTCCCCTGGGGTGATTTAAAAGACAGTGAGACAGGAACACTTATTCTGCACCTAGAAGTTCCAATCCACCTTGTTGGACTTTTGTTGGTTTGAGCTTTGGGGAGCTAGGGTAGACCATGTAGCCCAGGCTACTCTCCAGCCTCAGGTTTCTCAGAGCCAGGTTCACAGGCACATGCTGCCCAGCGAGCTTTAATCCAGTCATTGTTTGATAACTGAAACATAAGTTTACTTATAACAAATGAGATTAAATCACTTTTCTATTTTTCATTTTCTTTTTGGAGACATTAGGGATTGGACCAAGGACCCTAAGAATGCTACAATGCCAACAAGGATTTTTTTGTTTTCTGACAGGGTTTCTCAGTGTAGCCCTAGCTGTCATGATGGCCATGAACTTACAGAGATCCATTCACCTGTCTCTGCTCCCAAATTCTGGGATTAAAGGCATGTGCCACTACCATCCGGCAGGAAATTTCTTTTTTATGTAATTATTTTTAAAGGTTTCAATTATACAGCCAAAGCGTTTAACTTAATCTGTTTTGAATTGAACTGGTTTTATTGAACATTTTCTATTAATAATGTAACAAGCACACATATTTTCCTTACTGAAGATGAAGTGCAGAGCTGAGGATTCCATTCAGTGGCAGAGTACATGCTAAGTATGCTCGACATTTTCACGTCCCAGTACCAAAAACAACAAAATCACCTGCCACAAAGCTCTTCTGGTGAACACCAACATGCTCACCCCCCTCCCTCCTAAGATCCAGAGGGATCATTTCACAGCCAGTGCCACACAAGGAACACAGAGGCCCACGTGCTGTGTCTGAACTCCAGAAGACACTTCAGATGCAGTTAATGCCGATCCATGTCCATGCATTATACAAAACTCAAAAAGGAAAACCGGAGGACACCCCTAGGTGCTTGGGCTGGGCCAGGCAGAGTCCCGCCTACCAGCCCTGGACTCCCTTCCTCAATCTCAGCTGCCCTCATCCAGGCCCTGAGGCCACAGCCTGCTCTCCAGGGTGTCCAGTTGCTGCTCTAGTTGAACTACCATCTCTCAGAGATGAACTCAGAAAACTTTAATGCTGTCTTATCAAAAGGCCTCATTTCCTGGCATTCTAATCTTAAATACAGAGACAGTGCTCTCTGTAAAGATTGGTCTCATCCAGTAAAAAGACAGTAAGAATGCCTTCCCTTCTCATGAGCTCAGTTTTAATACTGCTAGCCGGGTTCTGAAGGCATGTAGTAACCTTGTTAGCTCTTACAGACAGTTTCTGGTGTGTAACCAATCAGCACATACGTGAACTCTCTAGTGAAAACATAGTTCTCATGTCTTCCGGTGTTACTGCTTGTTCATCTTTGTGGTACTTCCAAAGTGGGTGCCAACACACTTGGTTGTCCCTACATTACCTGGCCAATCACTTTGCCACCAATTTACTGCACGGCATTTAGTGGTTCAAAAACAGAACTGATGACTTGCTTCAAGCTTACGTTTCTTCGTTTTCTTTAACTCACAGGTTTCTGAATTATGAAAGAACTTTCACTGACACTGATACAGTAACCTAGTTAAAACAAGTTTCCCTTCTCAATAGAAAAGACAGAGTGCAAACACTCTTAGGGAGCCACACTGAGCAGCTGCAGAGGAATCTGTCATGTCTGCGTGTCCGTCTCCATGGCCAAGCACTTGCTGAGCACATGGTTCCACACGGCGGCAAAGCATGGCCACAGTCAGACCATTCACAGCACCAGGGTCCCTGTGCGGCTCTGACTCCCAGCCAAAAGCCAGCACCCTGCCATCTCCGGTTACCTTTGAAAGGGCCACCATACCTCGGGAACCGGGGTCTCTAGGGGCTCATTCTCCTCGCTGTCACTTGAGCTGCTCTCACTCTCGGAGTCCGAGGAGCTGTCTGACGCGCTGCTCTCCGACTCTGCGCTACTGGAATGTGCTGACACCGTTGGTTCGGGAAGCTTCGGTGGAGCGCTAAAAAGGAACCAGAGGTACCATTAGAGGGTCATGAACACGGGATTTCATGCCCGGTCACCTTTGCCCTCCTACCTGCTCCTAGCAAGTAAAAGCATCACTGCTGTCTTATCATCCAGTGCGTAGGGGCCTAATGGATATTAGGCTTATGTCAGGTGCCTAATAGCAAGGACCGGTTAACCAGGGCCTGGATGGCCTGCCACATTTTCTACAGAAAGCTTTATTAGAACATGCCGTCTGTGGTGGTGTCTGTGCTGTCATAGCAGAGTTAAGCAGTTACAACAGAGAGTTACATGTCCCACAAAGGCTAAAATAATTTACTGTGTGGCTCATGAAGATTACTGGCTCCTACTATGTATGACTCAAAAACAAAGGTGTGAAAGAGAAGTTAGTGTGTAAATCCCCCCCCTTGTATTCTCTACATAGGACTTAACTACATAGCAACCAGACAGAGAGCAGTATGAGCTCAGAAGTGGCCCAGTCACTTCCTGGTGGTGTTAGACAATGGGCCATTCTTTATCACTAGCTGGGCATGGACAACTCCAAGTTTCAAGGTCGACCATTAACTAACTGTAGGTCAATGGGAAAACACATGGATCGGGACTAGATATATATGTTGTCTTAGTTGCCCTAAATGGTATTGGCTAAAGCAGACATCTTTAACCATAACCTTCAACGTTTCCGGACCTACCTACAATATTCTTAAAACAAACCCTTATTAAATAACTGACTACTGAACAGCATAATAAAAATCACTGGCTGGGTTCATCTTAGAGCAGACACTGTCCCAGGACCTCTGTACGCTGAGGACTCTCCATCAGTGGTGAGACAGATGCAGGGTGTGGGCCAGTCACAGCGGAAGGACACCCTGGGAAATGAGCTTGTGTTCCTAGCTTTCCCTGCCCTCTGAGGTCAAGTCGATGTGAGCCACTTGAAATTTTAAAGAGAGTGGATATAAATAAACAGGCTAGGTGTATGAAGCTGTGAACTGTATAATTAATGCTTCCTTTACTATTAATAACCACATCGTCACCACTGACACTCAGATTCTTTCTGGTGACTTTCTCTTTAAATGGCTGGGCACCTTTCAAGTCTTTGTCTGTGAGCACAGGTATTTTTCACCTTAAATCATTATATTTAGTACCAGGAGAAAAATACTGTGAAAGTAGTTCAAAAATTAGTTTCCATTTCCCAAACACAGAGCATTACTTTTCTAAAACAGGGCTGACTCATCTGAAGGTGAAAGTAACGCAGTTCCCCTCACATTAAATGTCTGGAAGTCACATTTTAAAGCAGCTAAAACTAAGAAAAGAGAAGCCCTGAAACAAGTTCTAGAAGAATTCGGTATTACTGGTTTTGAAAACATGGTTATCTATCAGTTTCACAAATACATGGGGTTCCTTCACCTAAGCACCCTTCACACAATGCCAAGAATAAAATGTGTTTACAGCTTACTTTTAAAAGTTTGAAAGTCATTCTCTACCCCCATCTGGCCTCGAACTTCCTATCCTCTTGCCTCAACCTCCCACAAGGATTACAGGTGTGTATCACCATGGCGGGCTCAATGGGGGCAGGCGGGGGTGGGGGTGAGCGTGTGTGTGAGCATGAGGGTGAACGGCACATGTGTACAAATGAATGCATGTGGAGGCCAGAGGCCCCTACTAAGTGTCCTCTTCCATTGGTCTCCAGTTTGAAGGCAGGGTCTGTCTCAGGCCAGATGGGCTGGCAACTCCAGGGAGTCTGCCTGTTTTCACACCTCCAGCACCCGGATTGTGCTGTCCACATGACTCCTGTGCGGGTGCTGATCCAAGTCCTTGTGCTTGGAAGGCAAGCACTTTCCCGATGCTAACGCTTAGGCTCAGACATCCGGAACAGTGCTGTGGGTGGTTGCAGGGCCTCTTCCACTTTCACAGGCCAACGACCCCACCAGCTGACTCGGGACTTTAATAATCATGGGGACTTTTCTTCGACTGTGACCCCGTATCATCCCTTTCATGCAGCTAGAGCCATGACTCTGGTTTAGGTGTGTGTGATGGGGAGAAAGGAGCAAATGGTACCTTGGAGGTGCAGATGGGGACGGAGGTTTCTCTGTGGCCTGGACATCCGTGGTAGCAGTAAGGATGAGATGTTCCGGGAGGAGGGGAAGACAACAAAAACACAGGTTAGGACAAGCAGCTGGGGTACATTCGGTGGACTTAGAAGGATTCTTGGTCTCAGGCTCAACACTCACGTGTTCGGTGTCGCTGTCTTCACTATCACTGAGCTGCAGGTCATCCTCAAGCATGCTGGGAAAAAAAGGATAGACAGTGGGGAATTTAAGAGAACTCCTAATTGTTTGGGGGGCATTTAAATACAATACGTGCCTAAAGATGCTGAAAGAGGACAGGGCTGGAATAAGTTGGAGACTTGCTTTATTTGCTTGCTTGGTTCAGTTTTCTAGAAACCCAGGCGTTACTATTTTAGCACTGAAGGCAGATCAGCCAACCTCTTATCCTGTCCCAACCCTACAGAACTTCTGGTGGCCACTTCTAATCTGCCCTAAGACTGTGCTCCTTCCGTGAGAGTGTGCACACAGACAATGACAGAGAACATATATACGTAGCAAATATACTTGAACAGCTTTCTTCCACGGTCTCTAAGGAAAGTAATAATCAATGATTATCCACCCATGTGCTGATGCTAAATGGATGTAAAGCATTTAATCAGCGCTAAGCACACAAAACTTCAAGACAACTGACAATAGTTTTTTTGTCCAGAGAACATTATTAATATTGAACACTTTCACAGCCAAAATAAATGAATAAAAATTCATTCTCTTTTATCTACTTGAATACAAATCAATGATCAATATTCCATTAATTTAGTTAGTAATAAATGGCACTGTTGTTAGTAAGAAAGTATTTTAAACTCACAATTATTAATTCTGGTAGGGGAAAGAAAATTAGTTCATTCCCTAAAGTTCATATTGCTACACTCTGGCTATACACTGCTAGGCACTCTGGCTTATGACAAATTTTGATATTAAAATAAAAATGTCACTAAACAGTACTTGTTTTCTCGATTTGAGCACCTGTCCTTCCTTACGATTTTCCCGGAGATCCCCAAATATCAATGGCATCGACCACTAATCGTTCTCTTCAATTTTATAGGCGTAGCTATTTTTTGAAAGTTGGAAGTAAAACAGAAAAATCTGTATTATTTATGTTCCAGAAAACGAATTAAAAATCATTCGGTAGCTCACAAAACACCTCAGTAATTTGATCAGCAGTTTTTACTGTAGCACCATGAAGTAGCACGGTTCCTTCAGGAAGCCCTGGTAAAAAACCACTACATTTTCTAATGAGGTAAATTATAGAACTGGGATTTTCATAAACGACCGTGCGCATGTGATGTGCTAACTCCAGCTAGGAACTATTTCACCAGCACATGTACTAAAATGCCTGTGTAAGTTGTTTAAAACGTGAAAGGCAAAGCTGGCTCACACCTGATTCGAGCACTCAGGAGGCAAAGGCAGCCTGATCTCAGAGTTCAACCAAGGCTAGCCTGGTCTACACTTTCAGAACAGTTAGGGTTACACAAAGAACATTTGTCTCAAAAACAAAACACAAAAAATCAGGAGGAGGAAGGAGAGAAAAACACAGCCTTCGGTCATGGGACTTGGCAGCTGGCCATCAGAATGGTATGCAAAAAAAGAGTTACTCAACAGGTTTGCTGCTAAGCTGGCTTGGCTAGGGGACACAGCAAGCTGTATTGTTTTTGGAGGAAAAACAAAAATCACACAGTATAACACAACAGAGAGGGGGAAGCCCGGCAAGGTGTATTCAGCATTAACCATGAACAACAAAACTACAGGAACAAACATCTCCCTCCGCTACTGGGTTTCTTTTGCATAAGACTAATCTTTGTTAATTTTCTGTCCCACAAATGAGCCTGTAACCCCACCATACTCCCACTCTCTTGCTACTGTGTAACACCTGACTGCTACACACACATTCTCCTGAAGTCAGTAAAGACACACACGGAAGACATTCTGAGCTCATCTGGAAACGGCAGGTACCGTGGAAATTCTATCAACTTCTCCTTCTGGAGGTTAGATAGGATGAGAAGTCAATGGCAAAACATATCTGCTGGTATAGAAGCTACTCAAGACTCTACAGAGGAGACAGTGCTCAGTGAAGGAAGACTTCGTGAAGATGGATCTGAGTGTGTCCTACAAAATAAAAACATGTAATTTCTATCACTTACATAAGCTTTTAGTGGGATACATACATGCAGTGTTTCCTGTAGTCTAAATCTGTGAGTATAATTTATTTAATAAAGAATTAAAAAGCTGGCCAAGCAGGCCTGGTATGGTGGTGCACACCTTTAATCCTGGTACTCAAGAGGCAAAGCTAGGAGGATCTGAGTTCAAGGTCAACGTGGTCTACATAGAGAGAGATCCTGCCTCAAACAAACTAAAAATGTCATGGGCCAGTGAAATGGTTCAGAGGGTAAGGCAGCTTCTGGCCAAGCAGGGTAACTGGAGTTGGAAACCAACTCTAACTTCCACACTATCGCAGACAGACAGACAGACAGACAGACAGACAGACAGACAGACAGAAAGCTATCAGGAAAAAAGGCTTAGCAGCACCTGCCTGAAACCCTGCGCTTGAGAGATGGGAAGGCTGGGGCAGGACCAGAAGTTTAAGCTCAACTACAGGGGAAGAGCAAGTTCAAATCCCAGGCCAACCTGGACTCCATGAGACTTCCCAAAAAAACAAAAAGACGTCATGTATCTCATGTGAGAATCAGCAGACAGAAGCACCGTGTCAGTGTCTGCTGACCCAGCCAAGAGTAACCACAAAATCTTCCAGAAAACAGTTTACCACCCCAGATGTGGGTGAGTCAGCATGCATCAGCCACCAGGAGGTAGGCAGGGAGAAGATGTTATGACACACGCCTATGATTTACTGAAAAACCGTAATCAAATCTAGCTTAACGGGGGAAACTGGTGAGTGTCGTTATGGTTTTTCACAGGCAGAAAGAATCCCAACAGTGGCAGGAAATGGGAGCTTGGGCACGAGAGAGGAATCAGCTGCTCGTCTCCTGGTTGCTCCATGCGAAATTCAGTTTGCGTGCTGTCTGCGAGGGGACTGGCCCTTAAACACAGAGGAATCATACCTGGGTGAGAGCTTTGTCCCCTCTAATCGAGAACCGAAACCCTCCAGATCTAGTCCTACTCCTGTCCATAAAACCTAGGTCAGGAGAGCAACACCCCTCAGGGACATGCCCCTCCTCATCCATCGTTCATTTTTCTGAGGCGAAGTCGAGGACATTTCCACCTTCGTGTTCCTGAACCAAGAACACGCACACGCTGAAGTGCTGGCTGGAGCCTCTGGAGCCCGGTCAAAGAACTCTTGCTCAGCATCCATGAGGCTCTCCCTGGGCTAAATCCACAGGAAAGCACAGGGAGAAGCCAGAGTTTGGGGAGATGGGGAGATAGGGAGATGGGGAGAGGGAAGGAGGAGAGGAAAAAAGAAGGCCAGAGAAGTGCAGCAGGGGCGATAATGAGAAAACTAAGCCAGAAGAAGGAACAATCAGCCCTGCTAGTGAATAAGTAGCAACGTTGCAGAGCTATGTCTGCCCCGTAGACCACGCATGCGGTGGGTGTGAACAGGAAATGGCCCTTTGCAATCCGCAAGTGGGATGCTGAGTTTGTCCCATGGTGTGAGATCCCCCTACTCTGGCCGATCTGTTTGACACGATAGCTAGAAGACCTGGGATCTAGGAGACATGAAAAAGACATCAATTTAGCATAAAGCAGTAACTATCCTCTTGGCATGATAGTGCTAGTTTGCCCCTATAAAATTAAACCTGACACAATGATCAAATAACTGATGTCATTTCCAAGCTCCCAGGCAAAGGACTCAGCACTGTATGCTACACTACACCCATGCTGTTCAACAGGAGCCCAAATGATCCAGGAAACTAACTCTGGACCCCAACACAGTGTAAGCACATTTAGAGCACTGTGACGTGTCAGACACCCCTGGAGCCTTCTGTATTCTGCTCCACCAGCAGGGTACATGGAGCCAGGCAGGCTCTGGCAGGCATGGGTTCCATGAGTCACCCCAACGTTACTGCGTGAAACTCAGAGACAACTCTTGCTTTGCTTTCTTCCCTATGGGCTTATCCAAGGCTTTCTCTGCCAATATTCAACACCAAAGAACCCCAAAATTATTTAAACAGTCTCCTCTCTGGCTTAATTTTTAGTACCATTTTACTTGAGGAGGAACAAGTCAAGTCAAGCTAACAGCAGTAATCTGGGATTGGTAAATCCTGATGGCGGTAGTGGGTGTGTTAAAATGTTAAGAACCCTGACTGTCAATGAACACATGAGGATGGGTATCGTTACTCAGTCGCTTGGGAACAGATGGGAATGGAGGATGAAGGAGGCTGAACTCCAAGTCACAACTGGAATTCCACAAGGTTATGACTTTCTCAGACTTTTGTTCCTTCGCCTGTTTGTTTTTCCAGACAGCTCACTATATAGCCCCAGCTGGCACAGAACTCATTATGCAGATCAGACTGGCCTTGAACTCACTGAGATCTGCTGCCTGGCATTGGTTCTTTTACTTTTTGGAGACAGGGTGTCATAGTGTAAACTACACTGCCTTCAACCCCTAACTCTCCTCCCTCAGCCTTCCAAGTACCAGGGTTACAAAGCCACTGACTCTGACTTGTGGCTCCTTTTTGAAACATGGGCCACAATTGCCTTATGGGAGACCATGGGAGACTACAGATTTTGAAGAGGAAGATAGTAGATATCACAAACAAAAATTCAGATCTTAAGCCATTATAACAAAAAGCCGGAAGAAGAAATGGGGGGAGGGGGAGGGAGGGAGGGAGGGAGGGAGGGAGGGAGGGAGGGAGGGAGGGAGGGAGGGAGGGAGGGAGGGAGGGAGGGAGGGAGGGAGGGAGGCAGGCAGGCAGGCAGGCAGGCAGGCAGGCAGGCAGGCAGGCAGGCAGGCAGGCATAAAAGCTAGGACCCTTACTGTGTTTCACTGTAAACCTCTGGTTTTCCTCCAGAAACACATAAAACACTTCCTCTTATATGTGAGTTAACACAGCCATTATGTATACCCATAAGGCTAGGTTCTCAATCATTTGACCCCAAGTGTCCCTTTCCCAAAGAGCCAGGTGTAGCGGGCTCAGCAGAGGTTGGCAGTTACAAAAGTCCATCGGCAATGTATAAACGACAGCACAGGTGTGTGCCCCTGAAGCAGAGGGGTGACACCTCAGCAACTGATAACGTAAGACTCCCACCTGACAGAGCTTTAGCATTTGTTTTTGATGATACGTATTCATCAATGACACTTTCACAGTTAGAGCTGCCTGCCGGTGAGAATCCAAGTAAAACGTCATCCAGCACTGTTAACCCAACTTACTATAAAATGGCAAGAGAAAAATTAATTTTCTTAAGCTAATATGATTGAAGTTAACTGGGACAGGCAAACTGTGTCATCATACCTCATTCTAAAGGACATCTGGGGACTGGGGATGCAAGTTTCCAGGAGTCTAAGCAAGGCCCAGGGTTCAATCCCCTGTACTACAGAAACACAAAACAGTAAACAAAGCCGGAAGGCCCAGGGCCCTCAGCTGACATCAAGTCCTGCTATGCTGCTCACAATAGTAGCACCGGAAACCGAGGGTTGGCCCTGCCACCTGCACCAAGGTATTCAAAAACTGGCACTATTGGGACAGTTTGAGTAATCGGGATTATTACAAACTTCTGAGACTTCCCCTGGCTGCTGCTAGCACCCCATTCCTTCTCATCCAACTCAGGTAGCCCTGAAGCCCGCGCTCCCTCTTTCAAGAGTAATCATCCAAGTACGTCAAACTTCAAACGGGAGACGGGTTTCTGTCTTTTATTCCTTTATTCACAGTGGGGATTGATTTCAGAGGAAACAAATAAAGGAAGGAAAGCACCTTTTGGCTCATCGGTGAGGGTACAGGAGAAGGCTAGTTGCCGCCAACAGCTTCTAAGGCTGGAGCGAGCGAGCTCAAGCGCTGCCCCCGTCCCCTCCCCCAAGGGGCTGCCACTGCCCTGGACTCCCAGAAAGGAGCCGTACAAGGGACATGAAAGCCTTAGGAAGAGGAGGCTCTAAGTGCTGTCCACATCTTGGAAAAGAAGTGGACTGTGCAAAGCCAAGCACCACTGAGCATAACACGCCCTCCCTGAACTGCAGGCAAACAGCAGCCCTGACACCACAGTCTTCAGTTACCTGCAGCGTTCTGCCTAAAGGGTCGCTGGGAAGTAACTGGAGCTTAAAACGCGCACACACATGTACACAGGCACGCACGAACACAAAAGCAGTGTGCTCAAACACGCACTCCATTCAGGGCTCATGCTCCCGCTTTGCCCCCACCCCCACCCCAGGCTGGACACACGTGAGGGACACACGTGAGGGACACACGTGAGGGTTACTACCACCGGCCTCATTCTTCCTTTCATGTCCAGTTTTAAAGGTATTAGCTCCTTCTAGGCCTAGCAAGGTATAGACTGACTTTCAAGCCAGAGCATAAACAAGCCTGTAATTAACAATTCTGATGCCCAGGGGACGACAGACCACTACCCTAACCCTCTACCTGCCGCTCAAGCAGCCTAACCACACTAGCAAGCCCTGGGTGTTGCCACCAGAGCCAATTAACTATTTTCATTGAGAACCCCGCCACACTGAATGTGAGAACGATATATGGCAAAATTTAACTCACTCCCTGCTAAAGGCAAGTGCATAAAAGGGATCCCTTTGTTCATGGGGTACATTTCCCTATTGAAATCACCCCACCTTCATTACCTATCTGCCCAGCCTCAGTATCACACTTCCTCCAGCTCCCCCTCCCATCCTCACCTGCCCACCCCCATCCCCCACCACCCCCAGTACTGTTTTTACCCTCCCCCTCAGTCTCTTAAGAGCTCAAGCACTCCTTTCAGATATCAATTAGCAGCTTTTAGTTAAAGAATTCTGTCCCGGGGGAAGAAGTACATTTGCAATGAGCTTTCAGGCTTCTCTGGTTTCAACAGTTGCTATGCAGTTACTAGGACACTGGCCTGCACGTGAGGGACAGAGGAGGAAGTGACTTCTGCCCACACACTCTCAGGCAGCTTCCAGGGTGTACCACCCTGTCCGGCACCTTTCATGCCTCACTCACAAAGCAGACACACGGCCACTTCCGGCCCTCGGTGCCACTGCGCTACCCAATCTGCTTTCTGCTGAACTGACCGCCGGGTGAACGCTGGGTCAGTTCTCCCTCCTAGATGCCCCAAAGACAATGACCAGGGCGTTCTTTGGTGATCAGGGCTTGATCCCCAACTTCCAACCATCACAAACGAGACCAATCCTGATGGCATGGGGCTAGTCTCACTGACTCTCACAGCATTGGTCCTTGGCTTAGCTCCTCTTTTCTTGCCATGGTCTAAGCCAGTGATTCAAAACTGCCAGCAAAATTCCCCAAAGTGAAAAAACAAAACAGAAAAGGGGAAATGCAAGTGACATAGGTTTGGTGGGTTTTGTCTTTTTCAAGTACACAACACTAATAAGCAAAAACCCCTCATCCAGCAAGAGCACAATAAAACATACCCTGACCAAGCAAAAGACCCCATCCTTCGGACAATTAGAACGTATCTACCAAAACCCTTAATGTCACTGTTCAATTTTTCAATGTTGAAATGAAAACCACTCCATCAGGGAGCTGGTAACAACGAGTTAACCCTGTATCATTTGGTCACAGAGACATGTGATAATCTCTTCTACACAACTGGGATCATTTAGCAATGCCCACCTTCCAAAACATGAGGAACAAGCTGGAGAGATGGCTCAGCAATTAAGATCACTGGCTGCTTTTCCAGAGGACCAGAGTTTAATTCCTGGCACCCACATGGTTCGCTACCATCTGTAATTCAGTTCCAGAGCATCTACTGCCCTCATCTGGCCTCCTCAGGTACCAGGCACGAAGCAGCAGGACTCTGAATTAACAAGTCTAACACCAAGCCGGGCGTTGGTGGCGCACGCCTTTAATCCCAGCACTCGGGAGGCAGAGGCAGGCGGATCTCTGTGAGTTCGCGGCCAGCCTGGTCTACAGAGCGAGTTCCAGGACAGCCTCCAAAGCCACAGAGAAACCCTGTCTCGAAAAAACCAAAAAAAAAAAAAACCAAAAAAAAAAAAAAACAAGTCTAACACCAAGGGAGGAGCCTGAGCAGGTCGCCTCACTCAGTTCCTAGCAATGACTTGGGGTTGGGGGGGTGCAGTAAAGAAATAGTCAGTCATTCGATAATTTGAAGAAATAAATTGGGTCAAAATACTGAATTAAACAACTATAATGTGAACATTAAAGTGTTCCAAAAACCCAGAATACATTTAGATGTGCCTGGCCTGGATGAGAGCATCTGGGTGGCAGAACAAGCTCCTGTCATTAAATAGGCAAGAAAATGGCAGAAAATCTCATCCCACACATCCCCCAAATTCAATTCCCAAAGCTAAAACTACTGAAGTTTGAAATTTTGAAAGCCAGAGCCTTGTGAGTTCCACGGTCAATGCATAAATAATAGCTCAAAGCCTTTCTTCTCAGAAAACCCCGTGGCACATTCTCCTATAGTGCATAACCCTGATCCAGGCGCAACCGTGGGTGGTTTCCTCCCTTTACAATGCAGCCATATTTTACAAATGTCGTTAACTGAGAGCGGGGGAGGGGAGAATCTGCATAATGGGAAATTTCAACGCCACATTATCAATTTCAATGCCAAATAAATGAAGGCTGGTTTTCCCTTTCTCTACTTACGATGTTCCTTGCTGGGAACTGCGATGGGATTTGGAGGGTGCATCGTATTGTTCTGTGGGGAGGAAGGCAGAGTCAGAGCGGCATGGACACACATTTATAAAATCATTAAGTCCCCTCTGCACTGGTTCCTCCCTTTACCCGGACATGGTATAAATTCTGCACTGGCCACTGCACCTGATGCCGTCTCCTAAGACAGTACTTATGGCCCTGTGAGAGGTAAAGCTTGTTCAGAAACAAAACATCTGCAACAAATTCTCAATAAGCCAGCAGAGCTACTCTGAAAACAGGGCTTGGGTGTACCACCCCATCTCGCTGGTATCTTTCAAACTGTGGGAGACAGTTTCTGTTCTTGATGACAGTTTCCTGGGTTCCTGTGGGGGCTCAGTGACAATGCTGATCTCATATCCCACCTGGCTTGACTCCCAAGTCCATCTGTAATAGCACAGCTCCGTCCCACCTGTCCCTCCTGGAGTCCATGTCCCATAGCCTAATTCATTCACTCCACACCTATTTATAGACTGCAGGGTAGAAACCAATATGTGTAAAAACATCTGGTCCAGCCTTCAAATGGGCTTACAGTTGCCCGAGGGACATGAAGCAGGTCCACAAACATCCACGAACTAGGGCAGTGTGCGGCAAGTACACTTGGCAATTATGTAAATGTACTGTCCACATTCCTGATCAGCCACTCTGTTAGTAATGACCCAGGGAGTGAACTGCAGAGAGCATGAAATGTGAAATGGCTGAACCACAGGAACCTGTGGGTTTGCGTCCACCAGCGTGAGTGCCGGAAGACCTTCGGGAGGATGGAGAAGTGGGGGAGTCAGGCAGGCCACAGGTCTGTCCTGGGTGAGGATGGGCATGGAGTGCAGGGACCAGCAGGGGCAGGGGCAAGAGCCAGGTCCACAGAGTTCTGGGTGCAGGACAGAAAGTGCGGGGCCATAGCACAAGGGTGCCTCAGAAAAATCGGTTCCTGAGTCGTACCCTGGTGAACCCTACAGGGAACAGGAAGTGAGGCAATCTACCAGACGGGAAGCACCTATGTGCCCCGACACGAGGTCTAGAAAATTATAAATGTGGAAAGTAAACACGGGAACCTTTTAGGCATCAACTCTTTCAGCCTTGCGTACATGCAGTTACTCACTCTTTCCATACGGTGGCAGCAGCTCTCATATTTTCAAGTAACAGCCTAGACAGCTAGAGCTCCATTCTCAAGGACTCCCTAAGAGGTCATCCTGACCAGACTGCAAGCTGGAAAACCTTAGGTGACCGTGTTGTGTGAGCTCAGACATAAACAGCAGGTCACTCATATAAAAGCCCTACACTTTTCTCCAGATTCTAAAACCTAAGTACCAGGCCCCATGATCCCAGTGTGGAGGTGGAGGAGGAGGAGGAAAGAGGAGGAGGAAAGTCCAGCCTGGTCTACAGAGTGAGTTCCAGGACAGCCAAGGCTACATGGAGAAACCCTATAAATAGATAAATAAACGTGAGAATTCACTTGCTGGTGTTCTTTGAGAAAAGCATGCTGTCTTAATTAGTTTATGTTGCTGTGATTGAATACCAGGACCAAAAGCGACCCGGAGAGGAAAGGGTTTATTTCATCTTACACCTTTGTAATCCATCACCTGGGGAAGTCAGGGTAAGAGCTCTAGGCAGGAACCTGGAGGCAGGAACGGGAGCAGAGACCATGGAGGGCTGCTGCTAACTGGCTTGTTCTCCTCACAGCTTGCTCAACCTGCCTTCTTACAGCACTCAGGAACACCAGGCCACAGGTGACACACCCACGGTGATCTGGGCCTGCCCACATCTATTAGCAATCAAGAAAATGCACCACAGGCTTGCCCATGGGGAGGGGGGTATTTTCTCAATTGAGGTTCCCTCTTCCAAATGACTCTGACTTGTGTCAAGCTAACATAAAACTAGCCAGGACATTGCACTCTTCAATGAAAGCTGCTTTTATCGATACCTCACTCCTTCCCCATCTGACCATCACACGTCTCTCTTTCAGGACACAAAGGCCACATCCTCACTAGGATAAAATCCCCAAAATACCAAGAGAAAAAGCAGCCGCCCTCAAAATGACCTCAGGTAAGCACCTGATGAAGCAATTCCCAGGAGTACTGCCAGTCTGACAGCCCCAAAACTGCTCGGGCCAAGGTGTGCTTGTCTCCAGCAACTCAGAGGCAGGATAGGGTCAAGTTTCTTTCTGTCTTTATAGTTAGAACTAGCAGCCGCACAGCCATGGCCAGTGGGTGGCACAGACCCTGCAGACAGCAGATAGAAGGGAGGAGAAGCAAGAAAAGAGGCATGCAGAAACCATCCACAGCTGGGCTGGCACTCAGGACTGCTGTAGTGGTCGCGTGTCCTCGGACTGACTCCCAAGTGTCACCTCTTCACGTGGCCATCAATTTCAGTTAACTGCTTCTGCAACTTAACATCATCAGGGCATAATGTGGAGTGGCCACTGACTGTGACTCCTTTACAAGGTGGCACTCCATCTCTCTCGACAGAGAACAGTAAGCCTGGTCTATCAGCACCAGACAGCAGAGGAGGTCAAGTTTCAAACGTGAATATGCTTGTAAAAAGAGTTAACAGCAGAGGCTATGGACCAATGAAACTTGACTGACCAAAACAGCTCCAGGAAAGCTACATGCTCACACTAATGTATTCAACCCCAGTCTAAGAGCTTGAATCTCTAAGATGGGAAAGAGAAAAAAATCATCAAGAAAAAAGAGGGGTGACTTAACACATCCCATCACCTGTGGACATTTACAAGCTCCTCTTCCCCAAGACCCCCATAAGAAGCACAGACCATACTATGGATGTCCCCTGTCGTAGACTAGCACTTCATTCACCTGCCGCCTGGCAGCCCCACCTGTGCCAGCATCTCGTCCCCTTAACTTGTTCTGATGAACTGAATGATGGCAAATATCCTAGCGTTCTTTGTAAGGGTTGACGTACAAATAATCAGGACATGACACATTGCTCTGGGTGGTTACTTTTGGGGAGAAAAGCTAGGTCCTGTTAGCTCCCCAGGTTTTCCAGAATTTACAGCCCTTAAAGAGGGGACCTAGAAAGAATCACTTGGAGACAGAGGAACACTGTGAGTTGTTCTCAGTGTAACCATGTGTCAGGAGGTGAGGGGCCCACAAATCCAGCAGAAACAAGCAGATCTCTGAGTCTTGGTCTACAGAGCTAGTTCCAGGATAGCCAAGTCTACACAGAGAAACCCTGTCTCAAAAGCCAGAGCAACAACAACAGATAACCACAAGTCATGTAGTACTACTTGTATTTGTTTGAAGCTTTGTGAAAACTGCTTACTTCACACTCTACCTGCAAAGTAGCTCTGGGTTTGCTTTCCTTTCTAGACTCCGTGGGCACTTGTTACAAATGTATCCTCATTAAATATGTTACTATGTTTAAAAAATGCTTTGTTCTGGAGTGTAATACATGACACCAGGTGTTCACTTACTTTGGCTTTGGCTTTGGGTTGCAGAACTGATGAGCAGAGGATCCTAGAAAGAAAAGTTCATCGTTAGAGACGTGCGGCTTGATGGGTGATGGTGGAGCACACAGATCAGGAGGCAGAGGTAGGTGGGTCTCTGTGAGTTCGAGACCAGCCTGGTCTACAGAGCCAGTTGCAAGACAGGCTCCAAAGCTACAGAGAAACCCTATCTCAAAAAACAAATAAAAAAAGAGAAGTGTTGCTTACAGCATACAGGGCAGCACTATGTTTCCTCTCTCTTTACACACACACACACACACACACACACACACACACACACACACACACACATATATATATACATAGAGAGAGATAAATACATATTATCTATATTATATATAGAGATGAACATGTATTATATTTTATTATATATTATTACATTATATAATTAATATAGAGAGATGACACGATGGTGTGGATAGCAGTCACTGAACTCACCACTCACCTCCTACACTCCACTTTTCACTCATGACACAAAGCACCCAGCCCTCTAGTCAATCATCCGTTACCCTGAATAGACAGGGTGGAACGCACAACAGTCTGATTTCTGCATGGAATCGCTTTCCTTGTTTCCAGCTCTCTACGAATTTACTTTTCCTTTGGTGTTAAGCAATTGTATTTGTATAGTTTAAAACTTTGTTTTAAAACCATTATTAATGGATCTTCTGTTTAAAAAAATATTGTGATAAACTAGGTACAATAACAACAGTAAATTTGGGGTTTTGCAGTTATAACTTCTGAAAACAGTGTCATGGTTAGAATTACCTATAAATAGGAGCATATGTATATCAGGCCAGACAGAATGCAGATCTCCAAGTGTTTGGGATACATCCTGAAGGTTATTTAAAAGTACACTTGAGAAAAGAGCGATGGCTGAGAGGTTAGGAGCACTTCGACTCTTCCAGAGGACCAGAGTTTGACTCCCCAGCACCAACATGACCAACATGACAGACCCACAACTACCTAAAACAGCAGTCCCAGACAAGCCATTGCCCATTTCTGGCGTCTGTGGGTACTGCATACATGCGGTGCACAGACATACATGCAGGCAAAATAGCCATACACATAAGATATAAAAAAAAAAAAAATAAGTAAAAGCCAAAAAGAAAATGATGGCTGTGTTAAACAGCTTTTAAAACCATGTCAGTGACTCATTTGCTTGCTATGGAAACCAGGATTAGTGTTAGATGTTCACTTTAGACAATTTGCATGTGCTCATTCATCTAGATGCATCGTCTAGAAGGCGGACTAGTAATAAGTAATCTACCTCAGTCAATTTCCCTCTCCCTGTCTTCCCATCCCTGGAGGAAAAATTCTCAACTGAAAACAGGATTGGGAAGTTCTAAATGCTCTAATATATAAAGCCCTATAACAATTCTTACCAACATGAGATGGAGAATAGATTTAATCTAAAAAAAGCCTTCCAAAGGTCAGTAAAAGGTAAATTTTGACCTTTAGCCCAGTCTCCAAAGATGCCAGTTGGCAATGCTCAGAGCAGCACCCCATATACATCTCCCTGCTGTGGGCACCATGTCTGTCCTACATCCCTACCTCTCCCCACTGTTGACACTGTCCCTGTCCTACACCCCGACCTCTCCCCACTGTGGACACGGTGCCTGGTGTGATTTATAGAATTAATTACCTTTGTAGGAAAAGGAAATCTGGACGGCTCGGCTGTACTGGGTGTGTGTATGGCTGTCAGAGGAGGGGGCCACGAGTGGGTCATTTCCTAGAAGAGATTTGGAGAAGGGGAAAAGGCAGGTATAAGTGGGACATCATTGCAACGTGGGTCAGTGGTCCACAGGAAGCACAATCTCACAGGACATTTCGTCCACTTTTAGAACGACGCTGGCACCAGGCTACACTGAAAGCTGAACATGGGTGGGAACCAAATGGGCCGGCACTGGACTTTACGGTGTACCACGGCGTCCACCAGCCGGGGCTGGCGACGCTCGGGCAGCTCCGGGCCCTGAAGTGGCAGGCAGCACTGGGAAAGGCCGTGGCTCAGCACTCTCCCCCAGCTCCTTCACTGCACTTCCGAGAATTATTGAACTTCAAAGGGAGAACTTTCCTGCCGGACTTAAACAAACAAGTCATTCAGGCCCCTCGCTCCACTCAGGAGGGTTCTAATAGATTTGACCCTTCCCTGGAAGCACTGCTCGCAGGTTTTCAGAAGCAGGGGCTTTACTTTCTCAGTAGTAAAACTTTAATCTTTATTCCCTATTTTCTTGGTTAAGGGAAAGATTTCTAAAACTTACAAATTAATATACTTTTTGGTACTATCATATTTATGTTGCTTTGCTTAGAAACTTGAAGGGGCCGAGGAGGTGATGGTGCACACCTTTAATTCCAGTACTCCGGGAGGCAGAGGCAGGGGGATCTCTAAGTTCAAGGTCAGCCTGGTCTACAGAAACCCTGTCTCAAAAACCTTTAAGGTTAAGGGGAAATAGGTATGGCAAGTTAAAAGTGTATAATCATGAATATACATGTATATCTGCGCGTGCGTGAGCACACACACACCCCTTGAGAGGGCTCAATGGTGTTAGATCATTTCAAGATGAAGAAACTCATTTTATACAAATTAAAAAACAAACAGGGAAATTTAATAGACTGAGCCAAAGCCCAGAGGGAGCCAAAGGCTCAAGAGAGGTTACAGGCTCCTTCCTCTGTCTCCCTAGATAAGACAGATAAGTCACATGTTTGCACCCGGCTACAAAGGGGCACTTGACAGCTCTCTCCCCAGAGGCAGCTGCCCAGCACATGGCACTGCATCCTCGTCCAGGCCAGCACTGCCTGGCTCCTGTCTGAGCAACACCATCCTGGCTTCTCAACAGGCAAGTTGGCACGAGAGTGTGTGCATGCAGTTCCTCCCTGGCCCTTCCCCACTGTCCCCGTGAACAGTCACAGCAGCAGGTGAGAACAGGAGACCTCGCATGTGCTAAGACAACGTGACTGGTGTGAGGTTCATTTTATTTTATTTTAAAGGCATTCTGCTCTTAACTACTGAGCCATCCCCCCAGCCTCTGATGTGGGCTTGGACTACTACTTGCTAACAGTGAACTCATACTTTTTTATCGGCTCCAGGCCATCCGCTTTGCCCCAACTGGAATCTCTGTCAGCAATCGATAGTGGCCTGAATTCTGGGCGTCCGTGCTCACTGAAAACTCAGCTCTGAGCACTCATTCTGTGAGGGCAATTTAAGTAAGTGCTTGGGTACTGGAGTCAAAAGAACGGTGAGTAGAACCTGCACAACCCCTCGGTAGGGAGCGCCTTTTTGAGACAGGGTCTCTCTATGTAGGGAGCCCCGATTCGGCCTCCTCGGTGTTGAGATTAGGGAATGTGCCCCGACATCAACAGCCACCCATCATATTTAACTGGAATGTAGTTTTCCAGGCGTTTTTGATCCTGCACCCACTGAGCTCTTTGCTCTTTTGCTCATCAGCATATTCTAGGTGTGGAGTCACTGAAGAGCTTGCAACAGCATCCTAATGTTTTCCAAGAATTTATTGGAATTGTGAGGACATCTGTGGCCTTTTACTACCAGTTATTCCCAGCAGCGCCCGCAGCCTAAGGCTGTGCCCCGAGCAGTCAGGTAGCTGTAAGGTACTTAAACTCTTGTGGACTCTCAAGTGGTTCCCGGTCTGGAAGAACTTCCACACTTCCTAAATGCCTTAGGCTTTAGAGAAACTGGGGCCATTACAAAGAGGAGAAAGTTGAGCAGGCAGCCCTCCACTCCATCCCTTAGCCCTTCTAGGCTACAGTCTCCTCTCTCCTCCTCCTCGCTCATTTTCCCCCAGACCCCCTGAGTTTGTTGCTTCAGCTGTCTCTCTAGAGCACAAACCTTTCTAACCTCAAGACTTCTCTACCCCACGATCCTCCCCTTCACTGGCCTGTCACTACGTCCTTGCCCATCACTGCATCGTAACTTTACCCTCCGTGTCTTGATCCCCATGAACACAAAGGCCCTGTCCTCTTTACTGGCATCCTAGTATCTAAAACCGTGTCTGCACAGCAAATAAAATGAGTAGCAAGCAATAGTGCCACTCCGTACGAAGCCAGCACCACAAGCACACTGCCCCGAGGGGATGCCTATCCCCTGCATACTCCGCCACAGGCCTCTGGGACCATGCCACTAAAACACATGACTCTGGTGGCAGATCTTAGGGAGTACATCACGCCCCCTTCGTTAGAAAGAACACTTCTGACCTAAACATGGCCTCAGAGAACAAGTGAAAAACGACACTGAGCATCGTACATCATCTATGGCTGATCTTTACTCTTCTTGGCAATCTGAATAAATTGTTGACCTAAGATGAAGAATGGGAACTACGGGCAGGGGACACTGAATCGGTACAGGAAAGACTGGTAGACAGCACCAGGGTCCCCCACCAGCTCAGAGCTCTTCCACCTAAGAAAGCCATCTTCAGAGAGGGGGGACAGAACAGACAGAGCTGGGATTTTCTCTATGAAAAGGCCCATGCCTCTTCGGTCCTGGGTTGTCATTTCTGACTTCCAAATGGAAACATACAGTCTTTGCTTGAATTGTTTCTCAAGCATTTGAGTATAATACCATACTCAATACTGGGGGAGGGAACGGGAGTGGATGCTTTTATTAGCACCCAGGACCATAATACTATCATGCCTGAAGAGAGGTACAGTTGTCTTGTACTAAAAAATATCAAAACCTACAAAAAAGCCTGGTGGTGGTGGTGCATGCCTTTAATCCCAGCACTCAGGAGGCAGAGGCAGGTGGATCTCTGTGAGTTCGAGGACAACCTGGTCTACAAAAGTGAGTTCCAGGACAGCCAAGGCTACACAGAGAAACCCTGTCTCAAAACCCAAAATCAAAATAACAAAAGCCTACAAGAAGCACTGCCCACGGAAGTCTGTCCTATCCGGCACTTTGGGTAAATAGAGAACAGACGCATACTTGCAGAGAAAATACGAAGCGTGAATTTTGGGTTTTTGCTTTTGTTTTTGAGTTGATAAATTGAGTATTTTAGAATCAGGAATGGTGAAGGGTGACTCCAAAACATGAGCGAGGTTATTAGTTAAATATTCACTGCCCTTGCTAGTTGGCAAGAACATCAGCCATTAGCACTGCAAAACATGCCTCCGAAGAATCCCAACTACAAAAGGGTGCACACTGGGGCCAGGGCAGAGATGGTACAAGCATGTTCAAATATCTGCCCAAACGCTTCTTGTACAAATAAAGTAAAAACTCAAAATAAAAAAGGTAAGCAATAGCCTTATTTGCTGGCTGCAAACAGCAGCATTGGTTAGTATTTTTGCAAAGAGGTGGAATAAAAGTAAATTTGAAGATAAGTATGTATTTTAGAGGAAAAAATGAACAGTGGAGAATAAAGTCCATAGATCTAGAATTTCAAAAAAAGATCAAACTTAATAAAAGACACAAGAATATTAAGACGAATGGCAGCAAATTATATGCAAGAGAGTGAGAAGCACAGAGAACCCCCCCCCATTACTACAATTACTGGATACCACTATGCAGCTCTCTGACCTGACAAAGGAAAGCAAGCTTAGAGCTCAAGAGAAGAATCTACTAGGATTTCTTTGTTTTTGTTTCGTTTTTTAAGGGAATACATCATTCTAATGCAAGTGGGTAATGTACATGTGACGATACATTTGCAGGAGAGGTGATATACATATGGTAATACATGTACATGGGTAAGGCAGTCACAGAACTCACAATAAGAAAACCAAAAAGAACCCAGTAAGGAAGTCTAAACATGACCATGTACCTGCGCGTGCATGTGGGACACGCAACGCACATTGTGTGCAAGCACTCGTGCACATTCATGCATGTAACACACAGGATCTCACTAGGTAGCCCTGGCCGACCGGAAACTTACAGAGATCACTAGTCTGCCTCTGCCATGGAGTGCTGGGAATGGAAAAGCACACACACCACACTCAGCTCCACTCTTCAAGGTACAAGATCTCATTAGAAAGCACCCATGCACACCAGGTTTCACTGTATAAAAGGCAAGAATCAGGATGTGGCACTATTTAAGCCTGGTGTCTCCCATGCTACACCCATACATGGTGTTTCTTCCTGGGAAGTAAGCACCACTCCTTGGTCTCTTTGGGCGGGCACAAAACCTGAGAAATCCATAACTCTGATCCAGATTTCTTGCAGTTTGTGAACTTCATCTTAGCAAGTCAAATCTGAGTAACGGTCCGTATTGGGACGGCACTTCTCATGGGAATGACAGCCGTTCGTGAGCTCAGTTCGGGATTTCTTCAGACGACACAGGGTAGTTATGAACTCACCTTAAGAATCTCTTCGACGCAATGAACGTCACTGGAGAAGGGCTGCTGCAAAGGAAACAGAGGGAAACTCAGCTTACAAAGCTCGACAGTGGGGGTGATGGGGACAGTGGGTACGGGGTGGAGAGGTTCAGGGCGGTTCACTCCCGGACCCACCCTTGACTACCTGAGCGCTAGGAACTGCACTGTGGAGTCCCAGCTTCCCCTTGGGGAAGAGCAGAAAACTGGAGGCACACATGCACCCACATATGACCGTTAGGCTGAAAGTAACTGGGGACGTCTTAAAACAGAGTGCGGGCTGGGGACACACACTTGCCTGGCTTGTGTAAGTGCCCTGCTAAGAAAGAAGGAGCAGGGAGGAAGGAATGATGGGCAGAAGGGAGGAGGAGAGGAACACATTAGTGAATCTCAGAGGGCAATGTAACGGAAACGGAGGCAAAAAAAAAAAAAAAAAAAACCACAGACATGGAGATCATCAGAACCTGACTGGAGCCATAGTGGAGGCCAGAGGCCAGTCACGGACAGCGTTTCATCATAGTTTTCCAAAACTCACTTTATGTTTAAAGATGTCTGTTTCCATCTGTCTCTCCTTTCCTCCCCTGCTTCGTGTGTGTGTGTGTGTGTGTGTGTGTGTGTGTGTGTGATATATAGACACTTCCAGAAGCCAGAGGACGATGTCAGAACACCAAGAACTGGACTTACACAAGGTTGCAAGCTGCATATCATTGGGTGCTGGTTTTGAGCATGGATCCTCTGGAAGACAGCTATGAGCTCAAAACTGCTGAGCCATCTCTCCAGCCCCTAAAAAACTTATTTTCAATAACAACTTGAGCCTTATCTCACTTCTGCTGGAATTTTACTTTACAGAAGCACACTCACACCTATGTATACATACCTGCATGTGCACAAAGGACAATATATGGGGTGGTGGCATGAGTGACTTGGATTGGAACCCACTGCTTATGCCTCCACTTCATCTCTAGCTAAACAGAAGCAGTGGATACTCAATGTCACCGCCATAGACGTCACCACCATAGACGGAGCTGGGGGAGCAGTTCATAGTCTGCACATACTTGCAGTACAAAGAAAACGAAAGGCTAAATCTAAAACAATTTCTACATTAGAAACATGGGAACCAGCACACAATTCTTTAGTTTTCAATAGGACAGTCCCTTTTGTTCTGTGTCAACCCCTGAGCCATCAAGTATGCAGCATAATGCCATGCTCTTCATATCTCTGCTGCCGACACAGTCACGCAGTTGATAGACGGTCTGGATAGCGTACCACCTCCAGATAGCAGGTAGACACATGCGAAGCGGTCTCCCCTTGGTCTCAGAAACAACTTAAAAGTGTACTATCCTATAACACAGGTTGTTAATTCACAACTGAGGTTCACTAATCTACCATTTTGTCTTGGTCTAATTTAAGAACAATCAAGAGAAAAAAGGGCACAAACCTTGGCACCATGCTGTAATTGAATTGAACAGTAATGTCAAAATTCAAATGTAATGTGATCGGCCTCAATACATGTTTGAAACAAGGAAATACCCTGACGGCGGTTCTGTGGGAGGTTCAGGGATATGACCAGAGAGAGTTAAGGAAACTCTACCCTACTTACTGCATCCATCAACCCCATCCCCAGACATTCTGCAAGTCAAACTAGCTTTCAGTTTCCAAAAACCATCAAAAGATGTCAAAAACCAGGACCAAATGAGAGTGCTGCATTGTAGCATAAATGTCAGATTTTTAAAAATGGTGTTTTCACCTAGGCATAAAATATGACTATATGCTGATTTCAATGACCGACAACCACTATTAGAAAAAGTCCCAAACAGAAGCGAATCACACAATCACACAGAGGCAGGGGACAATAGCCCCCTCCCCCTGCCTGGGGCAAGGATGAAAAGTGAGAACAGTCAAAGTGGCTGGCAATTAGTAAAAATGGAAAAGCATGCTATGTGAGGACCAACAAAAGAGCATGCCCATTCTTTCCAAAACACAGGAGGTAAGAAGCAACCCACCTACCTAGGTCTTCCTTAGGGCCGACTGCATGCCTACAAAGTACTAACTAACGTCACTAAAAGGAACGCTCACAGCATCTTACTCTGCTTTCCCAGGGATAGCATCTGATTCCTACCATATTCTCTTACCTATTCTCTCCTACCCACACTCTCACCCCCACACGCCACGCCCTGCTGCAGAGAAAGTCGGGGCTCGAGCCCTTTCTCCCAAGCCCTCCTCTGTGCACCTACCTACCCTGGAGCCTGTCTTTAAAAGAAAGCCCTGGTGAGATGGCCCAGTGGGTAAAGGTACTAAGCCTGATGACTTCCGTCCCCACAAGCCACACAGTACAAGGGGAGAACCAAATCCCAGCTTTCTTCTGACCTCTACATGTGTTCCATGCTGTACACAGGCATGTGTATACCGTACACATGCCTAATAAATAAGTAAACGTGAAACAAAAATAACACAAGCTATCTGAGAGTCGGTGTAGCTCAAGTCTACCGGATGTTCCTCCTCTCTCACCCTGAATTAGACACAAGGCAGAGAGAGAAATGGGTCTTTCTGCAGCATAAGGACAGGCTGCCTCGTGTAATAAAGAACAGCTTGGCACCTCAAAGTCTGCAACCCAAAAGGAAACTTCCCAAAAAGGGAGGAGGTTCCGAGCAAATCATGTACTAATCTGGCTCTTAAAACCTGCATCCTCCCCACCCCCCCCACCCCCACCCCCAGCAGGGCTTTCCTGGTAGCTCTTACCAAAGACTGGACAGTCAGTCCTGGTTAGGCAGCTGAGGCTCAGTGGCAGATTTTTAAGAAGATTTCTTAGGGAATACAAGATAATGAAACACAACAGCAAAATCAATAATTGATAATCGGGAAGAACAGGGAACACAGGCTGACTAAGTCTCAGCTCTCGCTGTCATCTCCGCACTCAGGGGCCATGTTCCTTGGGCAGGGATACCACCACCAACTACTCCTGCTACACTGTTGTCACTTTACATAAGATCAATGCTCCAGCAGGCTAACTTCCCCACTGGGGCATGGCCCTCACCCAAGAACAATAACCCTACTCAATTAAGCAGAGAACACGGCAGCTACTTACTGAAGGCATATTATACTGGGCATTGCATTAAACTCTTAAGCATGCTATAATTTTCTCAAATTGATACCACTGATTATCAAAGTGATCACTAGGCTTGGCATGGAGAAGAAATCAGGCCACTAAATGTATCCATCAGTCCTGAGATATACATACATCCCATTTACAAAACGAAGGAAAAAGAAAAACTTAAGATCAATGAAAATGTCTCAGGGAATGCTGTACAGTATCCAATTTCACACTCACATCAAGCACTGTGGTGGGCAGATTTTACAACGGGCAGACTAAAATTGTGTGCCACACAAGGTCACACAGAGGCTCTGAAACAGCTGAGCCAAGCTTCCAGATCCTGTCAAACTGGCTTTCCCAAGACTGTCAGTGCCCGAGACAAGCTCGCAGAGGCACCTGGGTCTCTGTTTCATGCATGACCAAGACCATTTATTTGTTAAGGAGCAGTGTTTCTTCATTTCCTTCTACAGGTAGCAAAGCTGAATTTTGGGGTTCACATTTCACTCACTGCCTCTCACTACTACGTCATTCAAGCGCTTCAGACCCAAAAAAAAAAAAAAAAAAAAAAGGCAGAATTCTGGCCACGGTCTAATCTGTCAGCTCCTAGAGCAACACTCAGTATTGACACCGAAATGGAGAGTGTTTACAAAGGTCTTCTGAACTTTGTTTCACTCAGCTGAAAGGAACTGAACACACACACACACACACAAAAACCCTTGTCCCCGAGCCTAGAGGCCCCGGCAGTGCTCGTTTGTCATCAGGTTTCAATGGAGCAGCTTTTTTTATGATGATGCTATTCTTGTAAAGGCTTACCAGGAAATGGAGGCCACACTGAAGCAGTGAGCCAAAAGACCCCAGGTTGTCTTTGGTGCCTTTGCTCGGGACCTGACCAGTGACCCTGGATAAAACTTGACCTCTCAGGATTATTTCCTTATTGTGATAAAGGAGACTATTAGCACGTCTAACCACTTCACAGGGGCAGCGTGAAGCCAAGTGCACTGCCACAGAGCATTAACAGCTGGCAGACGTGCGCCCAATGCCAGCCATGAATTAGCCAAGTCTTCTTTAGCAATGTGATTGCTTGAGAAGAAACTCCAACAAGATCTTCATAGAAGCTTTCCCCCAATACACTGCCCCTTGGGTTACTGTCTGCTCTCTGCTGCATCCCTACCCCATGGGCTAGATGGGCTGCATGTCCCTGGCTCCAACACTCTGTCCCTTCCAAGTACCTGCTCAACCAGCCCTCAGGGGACAGAGAAAATACGCTTTTGCCCGCTTTAGTCCCGGTTGCCCAGGTGTTCCTCAGGCACACTCTGCTACAGACTGACTCCCCCAGAGCTGCCAATTGTGTTACTGTGGGCCCCCAGACTTGTCTGTACCCTATCCTCCATCCTGTTACTACCTCTGCTTAGTCTAGGCAATAAGTTCTCTGAAAGCAGGGGCCAGCCACCCCATCCCCACCCCCGACTTGACCACACATCACTGCTGCATAAATGTCACCAACAACATTTGCTGGTGGTGTTTCTGTTCTTCAGACTTGGAATTCTGATTTCTGGGGCTGGAGACATGACTTGGTGGTTATGAGCGCATGCTGATTTTCCAGAGGACATGGGTAGGATTCTGGCACCCACATCTGTAACTCCAGTTCTAGGGGAGCGCATGCCTTCTTTAGGCCTCCATGGCCACCAGGTATGTGCATGATACACAAAGCCATATCACTGACCCCTAAATATGTGAAGCGTTATTTGTTTGTTTGTTTGTTTTTTTGTGTTTTTTAAACAGGTTGCTGTTTCGTGTTTTTTGATGCCAGGGATCAGAGCGTGCCAAACACACATTCAACCATTGAATTATACCCTCAGGAGGATGTGCACCCACAAAAATCATTCATGTCCCTAAACACCTCTACGTAGCATCCGCCTGCATGCCAGAGACACAGGTC